GGGGGGGGGGGGGAATAATTGTAAAATTAGCTTTGGCAAGGAAAGTTGAACTATTGTAGAATAAGTCTGAATAAGGACCATTTCAAAAATTGGATGTGAAAAAAAGTAAGATGATTAAAGAATTTTTACATTCGCTGTATCAGAATTCTGTATCCCATGTCTATGAAATAAGATGAAAATACACGTAGCAGACATAGCCTCTACACAACTCAAATGCATTTCGTAGGACAAAATTGTCTATTAGATAGCAGTTAATTATTTGTTTCTTGTTCTCACAGGAAAGTTTGAAATCAGTAGAAATTAGTCCCAAGTCCTCGGAGCAGGGGATGTTAACACAGTTGGGACAACGTACTTACTGGTGTATCTCCCGTCAGAGGTCCTGGGGACTTCCTATACCTGTGTTCTACCACAAAGTCACCGATGAGGCCCTCATCAATAGGTAGGTCTGCATGTCATCAACAGGTAGGTCCACACAAGGTGTGGTTAAAAACACTACAATTTTCATAATATTTAAAACCTCCTATATACAGAAACTTAAAAAAAAAATGAATGACCTCCTTTTGTACTGTAATGTGCAGTGGTTATGCAAAAGGCTTTAAAAAGTAATAAAATCACATTTTTCCAAAGCCATTAAATACATACTTCTTAAAATCCCAATAAAATACTGCAAACATACTTATTTAGCTGTAGTCTTATTTTAGCACCTTTGCACTGTAAATATAAAGTGCTAATTATGATGACACTGATTGAAGCTCAGGTATATTTTTTTTATTGCAATTCATCAAGGTGCTAATCTGATCAAATTTGACAATGTGCCAAAACATATTTTGGATAAACTTGTACTCTTTGTCCACAGCCAGACAATTGACCACCTGAAGCAGCTGTTTACCAAGCATGGCAGTGACTGTTGGTGGACAATGTCTGAGGAGCAGCTTCTACCCAAGGACCTGCTTGACCAGGTAACTTGTGATCTAACTGAACAAACTGTTAAAATGTTAAGTTAGCTGGTTCATTTTCACTTCATTCAATATCAGTCTGCAAGTCTTGGAATACCTTTGCTGACATTCACTGAGGTACATATTCTATGAACCTACAGCTTATTTTACAAAGTTAATGGTATACTGACTCATTAAACTACATTTTCCAAACATGGACAGAATGCACTAGTAATGTAAGGTTTAAGAATTTGCCTGACACATTGAGCTTGGATTATAGATGGGAGCTAGCTGGTCGGATTATAACAAGGGCAAGGACATTCTGGACATATGGTTTGACAGTGGCTCATCCTGGTCTGTACTACGCAAAGGTGAGAATATCTTCTGTAGGTTAATATCAGCGAATAGTCTTAATCCTACTTAGAATAGTAATGCATGGTTTTGTTTGTCTGTCCATTCTTATGAATGACGACAACAGCTTTCTGTCCATTTTATTATCATGGTGCACGTGTGTTTACTAGCTGCCCAAGACACTATAGTTTTATTGTCTACACACCTCAAAACACAGACAACCTTGTCTGAGGTCAAACATCTACAATCACTATTCAATAAACCTAGATATCAGCTAATAGATTCAAGCTAAATTTTGTTGTTTTTCTTTAAAGAACATATATTCTTCGAAGCCTAAAATATCGATATAGTTTCATTCAGAGGGTTTCCATAATTCTTAGGAATACACCAGATTCTCATGATAATTGTTGACTGATGTAATTGAGATTTATCCATCTGTATGTACTAATTTTAAGTTTAATTTGATAGATGGTATAGAGCAAGCTGACCTTTACCTGGAAGGGTTGGATCAGTTTGGAGGCTGGTTCCAGTCCTCTCTCCTGACCAGCATAGCCACAAATGATATCCCTCCATATAGGTAATATCAATTTCCCCAGGATAATGAATACCCATGTTAACCTAAAAAAAGTTCATTTGTATAAAGTTGACATAATGCAAAAAGAAATATTGGTGTAATCCTTTTTATCATTAGAATCTGATTATTTTGCATATGCGTACATTTAAAATACTTTTGAAAAGTCATCGCCTGAGTTTGATTAATATCCTTATATCATATTTCATTGACACAAACCCGAAAAAATAGCCCTCATAATGATTCTTTTCAGACAACTTGTTGTACATGGGTTCACCGTAGATGAAGAAGGCAAGAAAATGTCTAAGTCTGTTGGGAATGTGGTAGATCCTGATACTGTGATACATGGTGGGAAAGTAAGTCAAGCAATTCATTCCTCATGGTATCTCTACATAAATAATAGAAAAAAAAAGGTTTCTATGTATATAGAATTTAATCGATTACTACTTACAGCACACATTGAAATTTACATGTTCCTATTATACAGGACAGTTTTAGATAAAGATTGAATAGCATTTTTCAATGTTTATATGCTGGTATGAACATAGAAAAATTCTATTCAATCCTTATATCTAGCTTTTATTGACCAAAGCATAGATATTCCTTATGTTTTTTATATTGAAGTGTCTATGTCGTCAGCACAAACAAGGTTCCTGGAACAGCCCAACATCACCAAACTGTTTCTAACAGTTGTCTCACATTAATCAAGGCAGAAGGTGGGGGGGGAGCTTCAAAACGACGCTGATCAAATTGCTTTCATAGCTCTATGAAAGCAATTTCTTCTGGTAATGCTTCTAGAAGAACTTGCATTGGAAATGTAAAAATTGTGTTATAAACTATATTTTTTGTCTACGCTTGCTGCATTAATTCCGTGTACTTACAGGATGACCACTAATAAGTTACTCTATCAACTCCTAGAAAACATTCATAATTCAATTAAAGTTTTTTGTACCAAACCAAGAGACAGTTATTTAAGATATTTTTTTTATATTTTGTTGTACAGAACCAAGGGACAGAGCCTTCTTATGGCGTGGATGTATTGAGGTGGTGGACAGCTCAAGCCCAACTACAACCCGTGGTCCAGATCGGTCCTTCTGTACTACAGAAATGTAATGAAGATATATTCAAGGTTAGAACTTAAAAACCCATAAATGATGAATTTAGACAAATCATGAGATAGTCTCACTTGTTAATTTACACACAAGCAGACCAATTAATTTAGATAAATCATGATGGAGTCTTGTTTGTTTAGCCGATAGACGCTGCTATTCTGTTACTGTTTCCCAATAGAAATGATAAATGACTCTATCCGTCTGTCCAGGCCAATATCTTCAACATCTCTTGATCATTGGCTTTGAATTTACAAAGAAAATTGACTGTATCAATGAATGAACAAATTAGTCTCTAGTTAGAAGATGAGACATTGCTACTGTACGTAATTAAATGTACTGTCTACGGAGGTTGAGGATGGACAATCTGATTCATTGTTGTTTCCTGTGATTTGTAGATAAGGAAGGTGATGAAGTTTGTGCTGGGGAATATCCATGATCTTAAGTCTGATACATTGTTGCCTTATGAGCAGCTCTGGCCACAGGACAAATACATGCTCTATCAACTCTACAATTTAGCCGAACAGGTAATCAACGTTTAATGCAAATTTTGCGTTTGAAAAGTGAGGAAGTCATTTTTTCCCCCGAAAGGTGTGTTTGTAAGAATTATCTCTTTCGCAGTGATCAATATACCATTTATTTTCATGGGTCCTTTTCAACTGTATTTCTAAACACAATGAGTCCCACAATGTTAAATTTAAGTGTTTCCAGAAATTCTACGAGTCCTATCAAAATTCTGTGAGTACAGTGTATAGGACTCGGGACTTGTATGTAGATTTATCACTGCTCATGCATAACTCTTCCTAATAATGACTTTCCTTTATTATTCCAGTACTAGGCGGAAATATAGGTTTGCACTCCATACATCAGTCAAATAGTGTGTGCGTTACTATGTATTGGCATATATCTCATATTCTAAGTCACCAACAATGCCCAAATTTTGTATGCGAGTACCTCTTGGGATTGTGGTGTGTCCTGTATTGAATTTTGGTCTCTTGCCTTAGATTATAGAGGTGTGACCCTCTGTTCATCCATCTGGGATTTCTTGCTTCTTAAAGAAATCTGTTTTAACTGATGGCATTCCTCTGCCCTTGATAATCAACCTTTAAAGTAACAAAGCTACATTTGTTCATTTTACAGTTACATGCTGCACTGTACTTATGTTTGCATTACATACTGCCTCTACAGAGACATATGATCACTGTTGTTACTTTTACTGATGAAGAGCAATTGTGAAAAGGAAAGCATTCACAAAATTTGGGAAATTTAAACATTTTACTGTACTTATTTTAATGTAATAGGATTTGCAACTGAACTTTGTCTTTCTCCCCATTTATACCAGGTGACACAAGCATATGATAGATTCAGCTATGGAAAAGTACTGGGCCTTTTGGAGAAATTCACCAGTTTAGATCTGTCCGCTTTCTACTGCACCATCATCAAAGACAGGTATACCAGAATGGGTAATAATTCTGCTTAGGTGTTAACATGAAAGTTTACTGATTGACACCTTTTAAATGTTGACATCTGAAGGTTGGCAGTGGAAATTCATATTTTGATACATTTACTTCAATCTTCTTAACAGTATTTTGTTTAAATAGTCATTGATAATAAAGCATGTAGTTTTGACAGAGAAATTTCAACACCACAAGGTTAGATTACCCTTCAAATTTTCCGTTAGCTGAGTCCTGCAACAAAATATCTGAACCCGAGGAATTGAGATTCTCTATCCCACACTGTGACTAGTGATTGATACTGATACCATAACTAAAGATATGTTTGTGTAATCTAATAGGGTACAAGAGACTCTTACAGTTATAGGAGCTTCAATTGATGTCTGCCATTAATCTTATTTGAACTCCTCTAGAATTATTTATAGGGGTATAGACCTAAGGAATATTTCAACAGAAACTTGTTTTTTTCCGAACAAATTGATTGTAACTGGTTTATATATATGTCTGGTATATTTTACAGAATGTACTGCAGAGGGGCCGACGACAAGGTCAGGAGGTCAGCCCAAACAGTCCTCTACCATGTGACAAATGTGTTTATGAAGTCGTTAGCTCCCATTGTTCCACACATGGCAGAGGAGCTCTATCAGAATCTATCAAAATCATCCTCTACAGGTAATAATAACCAATGTTGAGTTCATGATAAGGTGTTTGGTGTTAGGTGGGTTTTTGGGGGTTTTACATTGAACTTCCAGCCAGATTGATTGCATTTTCATTGTATTTCAGCTGTACTATGCATCAGTGTGCATAGAGATAGCAGTAATGTTACTACAGGTGTATTTCTCATTCATCCACAGAGGAGGAGAGCAGTGTCTTTAAGTCAGGCTGGTTCAATGTAGACCCAGTATGGGCAGACCGTGGCATTCTTAATTTCATGCAGCCTGCTTTAAGCATGAAGGAGGACATTGACTTGGCTTCGGAGGTAGACAGACCAGTGGAGTTTGACCTCACATTGTACTGTAGTCACAATCTTCATAATATTCTCCAGGTAAGGTCAGACAAGATACTACAGGGACAATCTTCATAATATTCTCCAGGTAAGGTCAGACAGGATACTACAGGTACAATCTTCATAATATTCTCCAGGTAAGGTCAGACAGGATACTACAGGGACAATCTTCACAATATTCTCCAGGTAAGGTCAGTCAGGATACTACAGGGAAAATCTTCATAATATTCTCCAGGTAAGGTCAGACAAGATACTACAGGGAAAATCTTCATAAAATTCTCCAGGTAAGGTCAGACAGGATACTACAGGTACAATCTTCACAATATTCTCCAGGTAAGGTCAGACAGGATACTACAGGGACAATCTTCACAATATTCTCCAGGTAAGCTCAGACAGGATACTACAGGGAAAATCTTCACAATATTCTCCAGGTAAGGTCAGATAGAATACTACTGGGACAATCTTCACAATATTCTCCAGGTAAGGTCAGACAGGATACTACAGGGAAAATCTTCACAATATTCTCCAGGTAAGGTCAGACAGGATACTACAGGGACAATCTTCACAATATTCTCCAGGTAAGGTCAGACAGGATACTACAGGGACAATCTTCACAATATTCTCCAGGTAAGGTCAGACAGGATACTACAGGGACAATCTTCACAATATTCTCCAGGTAAGGTCAGACAGGATACTACAGGGACAATCTTCACAATATTCTCCAGGTAAGGTCAGACAGGATACTACAGGGAAAATCTTCATAATATTCTCCAGGTAAGGTCACACAAGATACTACACGGACAATCTTCATAATATTCTCCAGGTAAGGTCAGACAGAAGACTACAGGGACAATCTTCATAATATTCTCCAGGAAAGGTCAGACAGGATACTACAGGGACAATCTTCACAATATTCTCCAGGTAAGGTCAGACAGGATACTACCGGGACAATCTTCATAATATTCTCCAGGTATCATTACAGTGAACATTTGAAAATAACATAATTATAACATAGTACCATGGTAATTAAATATGAAGGGCAAAATAAACATTACATGAACAATCTTCATAATATTCTCCAGGTGTCTTTTATACCAAAAACAGCTGTTGTACAACCTGTCTAAACCAAACGAACCTTGCATAATGAGAAAACCTCTATAAACTACCTCTTCAACTTCTAGTTTCACTTGTCTACTCCATGGTAACTTGTCGACTTCCAAACGGAAACAACCATGTAATAGTGTTGCTAAACAGATCAATGCTAGGAATTTCCCTTTAAGGTAATAGGATTGTGTCGCCATTTCTCAGTAGAATTTCTTCAAATTTTGTAGTTATATATTGCTTTGAAGTAAAGAATTTTTTCTGCCACAAAAAAAATATAGGTTGTCAGAATTGTACGGATTTTAAATGGAAATCTATGTAAAAATGAGTGAATTTTGAAAAAAAATGAAACGCGCAATGTTTTGCAAAATAATGTCAATCAAAATGATAGTGACATAGATTAGTATTGCATTAATGTATATCAATTTCAAAAATGCTGAAATTGTGTAAAATTAATTATCTATAAACGATTAAAAATTGACATTTTATAATAAAACCATATACACATAGTAATTGCAGGTAAGAGTTATCGTTCTTGAAAAACTTCACAGTAGTGAAATAGGTAGCCGGTTTCCTGAAGTACAGAACAACAGACGCATGTGACTCATTAATTAAAAAACAACTGAATTAATGCCTGAATTGCTTTGAAATACTTTAATATTGAAAGAACACACTGTTCTGTCAATAATAAACATACAATATTCACCAGTTTAATATCAAACATTAGAATATGCAGAAATTGTGATACTGTCTCCCTATATTGGATTTTCAACTAGGGATGTACTTCCTACTTCCATTTAGCAATACACTCCTATGACCTTAAACAATTAAACATTCTATTTTTACAGAATAACTATAAGTAAACAAATGTAATGCTAGAATGTCCAAGATTGATAAATACTCATTGTGAATAGCCATTTTCATGGGTTGGGATGGTTCATGTAGAAACGCAAATAGTGTGTAATAATCGCAAAAACACATGGACACCTAACTTTCCAGATGTACAGTAAGAAGTGTCTAATAAACTGAAATAAATGTTCCTGTGTTTGTAGCAATTCCAGTCAGAGGCGTCATCTTCTACTTCACCGTTGACAGAGATATTACAGACATCCCACACACACCTGACAACTGTCGCTCCCGACGTCATCCCTGATCACTGCATCGTCCTCAATGGAGCCAGTAAGGTTTCTGTGATAGGTAGGTATCCATGGTAACTAAAAACCGTCATTAGGTAATGAACGCTTTAACTATGGTTATAATTAAGGTGACACCTGGTATATGTATGGAGATATGGTGCAATTCGATTTTACCAATGATTTTAATACAGTTGTCTTTTCTTTTTGTGTTGATGTGAATAAACTAAAATCAAAGATTTAAGTTGCTATTCAATGCTGTGTATCATTATTTTTAACAGAAGGTGTCAAAGAACCAGAGGAGTATGTGCTGCTGTTGTCGCCGGCTGTAAAGGCAATCTGTGAACGATGTCGCCGTTACACCGCTGATAAACCTAAATCTCCATGTGAACGCTGCGTGTTAGTTATAGCAGATGAGTGGGCATGATTCAGGAGTTATTATCATTATCTATCCAATGGGTGTGCCTGTTACAAAACCAAGGAATGACAACAAACAGTGAATGAGACTGATGGAAACCTATGTGATAATCTTCTAGAGATATACACTAGTGGCCTTGATGAATCGCCATCGTGTTGTCTGTCCTGGATATATGTCTCGCACTGTTTAAATGTCAGATATATAACATATCCGCTTTTGGAGAAAACAATTTGCTCATGGTACACCTACATATATGTATTCTATTTTATATGATATACTGCCAAAACCACAGGACATTCATCATTCTGGTGTGTCTATTTATACAACACAAAGCCTTTGATATTACTACATGCTTTTTAGGTCAACTGAGACAAAGTCTCAAGTGACCTATTGCGATCGCCTTTTGTCCGTCGTCGTCCGTCGTGCATCCGTAAACAATTTACATTTTCGACTTCTTCTCCAAAACCCCTGAACCAATTTCAATGAAATTTTGCAGGGACCTTCCATGGACAAAGGTCAACAAAACTAGTTGCCAGTTTAGTCCTAAGCCCCCAGGGGCCTGAGGGGCGGGGCCAAAAAGGGTCAAATTGACTAAAATTTCAAAAATCTTCTTCTCCAAAACCTCTGAACCAATTTCAATGAAATTTTGCAGGGACCTTCCATGGACAAAGGTCAACAAAAATAGTTGCCGGTTTAGTCCTAAGCCCCCAGGGGCCTGAGGGGCGGGGCCAAAAAGGGTCAAATTGACTAAAATTTCAAAAATCNAGAATACTCAAGAAGATAAATAGAATTAAGTGTTCATAAAACACACCATATTTTATCTATGATAAGCCCAAAGGGCTGTGTCAAAATCCTGGTCAGGAGCCATTGTCCAGGGCCGTCTTCCAAGGGCCTGTTCAGGGGGCCTATCCAAGAGGCCCACACCAGTCAAAGGGCCTGGTAAGACTCATGGTCAAGGGGCCTCCTCCAAGAGCATAGCCAGGTGGTAAAGTCAAGGGGTCTGACCCTGTTCTCTATAGAAAGGGGTCAAGTGAGTATCTGCCTTATTCAAGATTTTACCTATTAATGTGGAAAGGGATTCTCTCAGAAATTAAGCTTCTCTGTAAATGTATATTATCCAGTAAGCACATCATCACCTTTAAAAAAATATGTTTAACAAAGGTTTATATATATGTTTAAAGAGAGTGGAATTGTGACCAAGCATTAGCTTTATTGAATGTAACATCTGGCTGACTAGGGGCTGGGCTTATTACCCAGCAATTATTTACAAGTGAAATGTTATACTGTATCAAACTATAAAGTGTTCTTTATTGAGGTGTATTATTGTTGTATACATAGTATGACTGTGTGTTTGTTTTGTTAGAACTGAAATAAAACATGTTAAATACTTTTTCTTGTTAAGTTGTGAACTCACCTATTCGTAAAGACCGTTTTACCTTATATATACCATGTTGCCAATATCATGGAATCTGGCGTATGGTGTCAACTTTTTACACCATTAATTTCTTCTGCAAAATTATTCATCCATGTCAAACATGCTGACACAGGTTGTATTTTCGTGACTGTTGTACAAACATTCTGACACAGGTTGTGTTTTCGTGACTGTTGTTCAAACATGCTGACACAGGTTGTATTTTCGTGACTGTTGTACAAACATGTTCATATAAGAATAGTCTTGACCTAGGACCCAGTCTCCAATTTCAAAAATGTTCGTTAATTAGATGAGAATACTGAACTGAAAATTTCTAAAAAGGAATGCCATAAATGACACTAAGGAGAATTTCCTTAAGATTGTTCTTTAACTCCTGTTATACATCCTAATGGTAAAACTTCTGTTAAGGGATTTGAGTTTTTGAGTTGCAGAAATACTTTTACTGGTGCCAATGATGAGAGCATAAATAAGGCCTTACATTTGTGTCAACATTTAACTTTGTTGTTTTTAATGTTTTCCAGACTTGGTACAACATTTTGTGTATATGTTGTTCCTTTCCTTGTTTTACTGGTTATTACATCGACATAGTGTACAGATGGATTGATATACAAAATACAGTACAAACTGAACACAACATCAAACAAGCTAATTCGTGGAATTGATATCCCCCGCTTGTAGGACATATTACAGATTAACATTATTGAGGTTAGGTTTAAACATGTGAGTATCGTGCTGTTGAGACATAATGTATATAGCTTGAATTGAAGAAAAAAAGCCTAATACCTCTTTGATTATCCGTAAATTTACACAAATCACATCGGTTGGCAAACTTGGCATGAGTCGGATGTGCATACGGAATTTGGTTGAAACATCTGAACAATATCTACAGCAATTATCACACGAAACCCAAAGAGTGCCCGAGATGGTTGGAAAGACAGAGGAACACAAACATGGTTATCAAGTTTGAAGGAATTTGGCTAATAACTGCAGATAATTATGCTTTTCGTTATTCAAGGGGCCATAACTCCGCCAAATGGGGTCTGCTGAAAGTGGTCATCAAACTAGGCTTAGCCCTTAAGGCATTTAACCCTGTGACCAAGTTTGAAAAAAATTGGTTAACATTTGTTATAGTTAATGCACGGAAACAAAGCGTGGCAGTTAATGATGTTTTTCGTTATTCAAGGGGCCATATTTCTGCCAAATGGGGTCTGCTGAAAGTGGTCATCAAACTTGGTCGAGCCCTTAAGGCATTTATCCCTGTGACCAAGTTTGAAGAAAATCGGTTAACATTTGCTGTAGTTGTTGCACGGAAACGATGCGTGGCAGATAATGACGTTTTTTATTATTCAAGGGGCAATAACTCCATCAAATGGCGTCCGCTGAAAGTGGTCATTGAACTTGGCCGAGCCCTTAAGGTATTTAACCCTGTGACCAAGTTTGAAGAAAATAGGTGAACATTTGTTGTAGTTATTGCACGAAAACGAAGCGTTACAGACAGACAGACACACCCAAATTGATATCCCCCGTTTCGGTGAAAGCGGGGGATACTTATATCTAGGGTATCACATAATGTACATAATAAGATACTTCTGCGTACTTTAGAAAAGGAAATCATAAAGATGAAATAAAAAAAACACATCATTGGCAGTGTTCTGATTGTAAAAATCCATCAGGTCTAGACACGGATTGGAACCCCAAACTTCAGATAGTTATACTATTGCTCAGGTTGACTGGGCTAACTAGTCAATGGAAATGTCTTGGCTAAAATGTGCTTTAGTTATATCCGAACAGAAGAACTGGAAATAAGAATAGAGATGGCCCTCAGTTTGCTCTTGAAGGCGACCTTAAAACAAATTCTTGGTAGGATGACGTTCAGTCTTAAAAATTGTGGAAACCAATTAATGTAGGACAGACTTCAGTGTTGAATCTAATGATGCTAACATGCCGTGGATTTCTGTTATATCTGATGATGCTGACAGGCAAGATTGGAATTTCATGAATGAGAAATTGAAAGTGATCACGTTTTCATTGAGTTTGGTATTGTCAAGTGACAGAATGTTACTAATGAGTAAAGGGGAGTTAATGTAAAATCAATGTCGTCACGTTGTCATAGAGATTGATAATATGGTAGGTGTTTGGTATATTATGTTACTTATGCCTACTACCATTAAATTAAAGTCTCTTTGTCATAGAGTTTGGTAGTGAGTTGGGTGACTGGTGTGTTACGCGGGTGGGCTGACAGGTGTGTTAATTACGTGGGTGGGCTGACTGGTGTGTTACTTATGAGGAAAGGAGAGTACATATTGTGAAATTAAAATCACGATAGTTGTAGTGTTTGGTAGTGAGGTGGATAACGGGAAATGAAAAGTAAATTAACGTGAAAGTTGCCACGTTTGCCTCGTTTGCCACGTGGTTAGTGGGTTAATTGGTAACTTGGAACGTCTTGGAGGAAAGTTTAATTATCGTTTAAAGTCGTCACAGTTAGCAGAGTTTATTAGTAAACATATGTTTTGAAATATGTAACGTTACTACTGAGGGAATGAAAGTTAACGAAAGTGAAATTTAAGTCTGTAATTCTTATTCGAGGCCTGTCCGAACGTGTTCCAAGGCATTCGGCCTCCAATCTTCGGACAGTAAAAGTTAAATAATTCTTCAAATACGGACGCTTTTGCCCTTTTGTTATTATTGTATGACAGGCATGGACTTTCCCTTCCAAATGGTATATATACACATACATTTCAAATAAAGATAAAAAAAAAACCACCGCCATACTGTTATGTATACATGCCAGAACTTTCAAAAAGTCGATTGAGTGGACACCAAATTGACGAGTCTGAGGTGTGCATGTTCAGTTTCTGGGCAGTGGTGGATCCAGAGACCTATCTGGGGGGTTTCCAAATTTCCAGAGGGGGTCCATGTGGGAAAATATTGAGGAAAATGGTGAAAATAGAAAATACATGAATTTTAAAGAAAATTCTCACGGTGGGGGAATCCTCTGAAGCTCAAAAAATCAAACTCTGGAACCACCACTGCTTGGCACTTGATGATAAATTTGCCCAATGAACGAATTTGAGGGAAAATAAACAGTGGTGCATTCTGTGTTGTTGGTCAACTATGTTAATTCTCTTATTTAGCAGCCGAGACATATCAAGCCATGTACGTCTCTGATTTTAGCTTGAAAGTCAGTTTGAAATCACTTCCTTACTGTTCATTGAGAACTGATTCCATCCTGTTGTCGTCGTTAAGGTACCGCTACGGTCCAAAAATACGGAAACGTATCAGTAAAAAATGTTACAAAATTTCTTCAAAGTTTGTGTCTCACGACTATATCTTTGAACGGCAATACAATGTATAGGCATACTTTAGAAACCACTATTATATATATCGTTTAATCACAAATTGACGACATTGTATCTTCCTTATGTTAGGTCGCCGAATAAACAACAACATACCGACCAACAGTAACACATTAAATGCCATGCGATCATCTCGATTCTTTGATTGATTGATTGATTAGTTTTACGTCCGCTTCACTAGCGGGTACATGTAGTTCGATAATCCACCAGACGTACTTCTGTGTACAGGTAAATCACAATTAACACACCTGTGTCCAGTCCTGACAGCAGGAGGCCCAACTTGAGACACACCTTTATACCTTTGTCCAGGTATGTCATCAAAGGGATGACAGCAGGTGGGCAAGGGGCCGGGGTACCTGATGTTAGTACGTAGATTTTGTGTCGTATTTTCCTCTTAACAATGACCTCAGTCTAGATAACGGAGAATTGAGTAAGGATCAATATCAATGTAAATACGTAATATTTACCTTAATAATACTGTCACAGTGTGTGTTGCATCAGTACATGCAAACTATAATTTAATCATTACAACTGCATCTCCCGAGAGAAGAATGCTGGACCATGCTCTGCACATTTTTTTTTATCTAATCAGGTTGTTTAATGGTAAATTACTCGTATTTGTGAGACTGGTACACCGGCGCCTTTTCGTCGCCGGGATGAGTACGTGAAGTGGACAGGTTCTCCTTCTACACAATTCTTGAAATTGGTGTGTATATTTATTAGGTATTATCACGGACTTAAATTACCACGAAATATAAAATTGAATGCTAACTTAGTCGGTGTTATTACAAATGAAAGATGTCATTTTTTTGTGTGTATTAATTTGTTAGCCCTAAATTCACTGGATTCTTTTACGGACTAAGCCGATGAGCAGAGACGTATTTTTTATATATAAAGTCAGTACTATATTTGTCTCTGCATCGAGGCATACTTGAAAGTTCACTGACAATTTTTTTCTATTCAAATAATGAAATATAGGCTTTTCAAATGCGCAAAATAGGTTGGTTGGAATAGAACTGTAGGCCTAGGTTAGTATTTCAGTATCGATTTCAAAGTAACTTCTCCCTGTACTTAGTTTAATAATCAAGTTAACATTTTTTCTTATCAAGTCCATTCAAGTGAACTGACAAAATGCTCAAAGTTGTAAATTTCTATTTACTCAAAACCCAAAATATCAGCCCACTGGACTTATCCCGGGGCCGAACTCCGTCTCTAGAAGTATATAAATAGCGCGGGAAATGAAAAGTTACCTCCCCTTTGCTTGATGTTGCTATGGGCATGGGTTCTGGAAATGGCGTCGCTGAGTTCATTCGCAAGATCACTTCGAACGTGTTGATGGATATTACGATGAGTTATGAATTTAAATAGAGGATTTTACATTTAAACACGTAATAAGAAATCTCTTGAATTTTCTGAAGTAGTGATATGTAAAAGGTGAACTTATTTTCATTTATAAGACGATTATTCAACCGGAAGTTGTGCTTCATTAGAGAACAGAACCCCTCATTGTTTACACTGATTTTCCACAATAATGGCGAAAGTAACAATGGCAATGGATACTGTAAGTACTAGTTTATGCTTCTGATATATCGAAATTAATCTATTAACTGTATATTACATTCTGCATTGTTTATGAAGCGTTTAGATAAGTGTTTATCGTTGATGTTGTTTACATACAACAAGAGTAACGAAACGGCGTGATGTTTATTTATTTTCGGGTTGTTTTGAGGATGTGCTATAATTAACATACATTGTAGGTGAAAAGTGTGCCCTCAACAGGTACATGGACATGGAAAGATGACACCAATTCTCTAGAATTTATGAGGTAAGTGATAACCTTAATCTGTCCATTTTAGAACTGTCCAGTCGTCATCTAAGGTTCTGTGGTGTAGTGGTTATCACGTCTGCTTTACACGCAGAAGGTCGCGAGTTCGAACCTCGCCAGAACCTTGGCTTTATTTTATTTTCATTTTACTTTTATTTCATTTGATGTTTTCTGAAACATTGAACAGATCCCAATTGAAAATTTGTCAATATAAGGAAATTATCTGTATTTTACAACAAAATGAAATAGGGCAATTTTTCAAATAGTATTAATCTGACGAATCTGTCAGTCTTGCTGTCCCGACATATGTATACAGGGCAAACAGAAGCACCTAGAGAAAACCCAGGCTGTGACAATCTTGGCACCTTGGTGAAAGGCTGAGTGCACTAGCAATTGCATCACCTTACCAAGCATACAAATAGCCTTCTATTTTTAAGAAAATTTTCTCAATCTTCTATTTTTGAGTGATTCAAACACTTTCTCATTTGATTTTACTTTGTTTGTAAAAAAATATGACCTGTTCAAGTCCAAACTAACTTAGTTGACTTTTCTGTGTTGCAGTAATAATCCAAATGCTGACAGACAAGACAAACGGCGAAGAGCAAAGGAAGGAAATAAAAAAATGGACAGGTAAAGAAAAAATTGTCTTTGTAATCTAACAAGAAAATTTGTGGGGAAAAAACAGTTTACTGTTACATTTGACATAAGCACCAAGAACTTTGATATGCTATCAATGTTGTGCAGAATAATAGCTATCTTTCTGTGGGAAAAAAAATCATTAAATATAATTATTATTATATATTAGATGACAATTTAATCCAATATAATATTGAGTAAAAAAATCAAAACCTATATTTTAATTAGTGGGTCATGGATTTTTTTGAGCATTTTTGGCATGAAAGTTTTATGCATAAAAACACTATTTCATGTTTCTTTGTTACTGGTATAGAGTTGCATCTAGTGTTGCGAAGCCAGGAATAAGGGGCCGCAGTCAGAAAGGCAACCAGGCCAAATCTCCCCATCCAACTTTAAAGCTGAAAAACAATCAATCAACCGTTACACTTGACTATGTCAAAAGTAAGACAAAATAACCATTATAGACTTGTAGTCTGTAAATGTCCGATCACTGTCTATAGTGACAATCCATATATCTATTGATATATATTTGCCCATTTATTACATGACTACATATTATGTAATACATCAAATGACTAAGTGTGTTATGTTATATTTATCACATGACCACTGTGTTATGTTATATTTATCACATGACTACTGTGTTATGTTATATTTATCACATGACCACTGTGTTGTTATATTTATCACATGACTACTGTGTTATGTTATATTTATCACATGACTACTGTGTTACAATGTATATATGTTATATTTATCACATGACTACTGTGTTACAATGTATGTTATATTTATCACATGACTACTGTGTTATGTTATATTTATCACATGACTACTGTGTTATATTTATCACATGACTACTGTGTTATGTTTTTTTTATCACATGACTCTTACTGTGTTATGTTATAATTATCACATGAATACTGTGTTATGTTATAATTATCACATGACTACTGTGTTATATGTTATATTTATCACATTACTACTGTGTTATGTTATATTTATCACATGACCGCTGTGTTATGTTATATACAGTAAAACCCCGTTGTTATGCCACCCCTTAAACCACCAAACCCGCATACCGCCATTTATTTACTCAGAACGGATTACCCAACGTTAATGCACCAATACATGTACTTATTAGATGCCACATTTTTTCCTACATTCTTATTGGTTGGATCATAATCATGTGGATCTTGGTGTTTTGTAATATTGACCTAATCTTACTATTTTTAGAAACAGTAGGTTAATAAAAAAAAAAATGTCTTTTCAATTGTGACGTCACAATGCTTTTGGTCAAATGCAGTTCTTTCCTCTGTACAATTTTCATATGTTCCATCTTTTTAATGAAATTTAGAATCTAATATGATAATCAAAGACTTTTATTTTGGTATGATAATTGATATGGACCTGAGAAAGTGATATTGACCTTGAGTTCGTCTAAGTTAATATAGTGTATTACTTTCTCAGGTCCATATAACCACATATTCATTTAAACAAAAGTCCATAATTGATTGTTTTGTTCACATAACTACAGACATGTTTTTTTTCAAATTTATTTTTGTTAATATGAAGACAATAATGCCAAAATCACGACATATATTGGAAGAAGTATACCCTCTTGTCTAAGTTACCTCAGAATTTCTGAAATTGTATATGGTAGTTCTCTGTATATCTGTTATAGGAACAACTTTAGGTCAAGGTCACTGTTACTAAAAGTAGAACAAGAAGGTTATTGTAATATCATTTTCTTGGAAAATAGTATTTTGTAAATATCTTTTATAGTACCTGAATAAGGCCATATATCATCAGGTTCCTGAAATTCAAGATAACCACTGGTAAAGATAACGAGCTGTAACTCAAATTGGTGTACAGTTTTGTGTACTGTCAAATCTTCATTGTATATATGACCTTTCTGACCTCTGTCTTCAATGTATGGCTTTGAATATTGTTCTTTTGGGTATACTATTATGGCTATTTCAAAGAAACTCTTTTATAGCTGTACCAAATTTGTTTGATTTTATTGTAGCTGTACCAAATTTGTTTGATTTTATTGTAGCTGTACCAAATTTGTTTGATTTTATTGTAGCTGTTCTAAACTTGTTTGATTTTATTGTAGCTGTGGCACTCAGCATGCTGTCTGTACAAAACGCTGATGGGATTTCTGAAACATTTGAAGGCATTCTCAAGTAAGTCTTTAAATTTAACTATGTACCAATTGTGATTTCAATATTTGGGAATACCAATTCATGAATCATGTTATTTAGATATTGTCTTGTATTTCCAAACTATTAGCAAGGCACCTTACTTCTATCAGTCTTTGAAGACAGGCAAAAACTTGTTTACAAAAACTTGGTTTACTTCTTCGGTCCCCTCTAGATCTCCTGAACAGCCAAGTGAAGCATGGTAGATATATACAGCACCTTGTGTCAAAGCCTTTAAAAAACTTTTAGTCAAGCACAGTGGAAGAAACATCCCTGAGCCAAGGAAATACAATTTTGTATAATTGAGGGTTGTTTTTCAGTCCATATAAAAACCTTTTGTGTTTTTCCGTACAGATGATTAAGTTTGACCTTTTAGGCTTTTTCGTTTACCAGGAGGTATACATTTGTCTTTTCCTGTTTGTCAGTGCTTATAGATGAGTTAAACTGCTCTAGTTTTGCAGTACAGATGAGTTTGATCATTATGTCTTTCATTACTTGAGTTTGACCTTTTCTGTCTTTTCAGTATATAGTTTTGACCTTTGTGTTTTTCAGTACGGATGAGTTTGACCTGTTCCTGATGCATCTACTCAACTATTTCCACTGTTTTTTTGACAAGTTGCTCCAGGAACACAAAATCAACACCACTACCTACATGTAAGATATAACAACACACCACAGTAAGATATACGGGAGTGATAAAGTGACGTTGTTAGAACGAGTAACTCATTTTGGAGTTGGTTGTTAGCCTACTAATATTTCCATACAAAAATGTACTTAACCCTTTCACCACTGTAGACCATAATGGACTCATCCAGTGATATATGCACTGGTAAGTTCAGAACTCCTACTCTATAAAGGCATAGTAAAAATATTTACCAAAATTTTTAAAAAAAAAAGGCCTGCCTACCTTCCCTATTTTTTCTGTGGATGATAGCTGGAAACACAAGTAATTTGTTTTTGGACAAACAAGTTATATAGAATTAATCTGGTTATTAAGTCCTAGGTACCAACTCCACTTTTAATTGACAACAATGTATAATTTCACAGATTGAAAAGGTAAAATTGGATATATCTGTATTATACATCAAGTTTTATTTCTGATCAATATAGATATCTAAATATTTTTCTATGCATGATGTTTCATAAGGAAGGAGAAATAGGATCAACTGTGAGTTGCCCTGTACTGTATTTATTGATAGTGCTTTTGTGTATCTTAGTGAACCTAGTCTGTCTGAGAAGAAGGCATTTGAGGAATCACTTGTGAAGATTGGATCAACGGAGAAATTGCTGGGACAGGCCTATTGTGTGCTGGAGTTGGGTTTGGGGTTGGAGGACCACCACCACATGGCCTGTGGAAGGTAGGTCTCACTACAGGGTGCTGCGTCACATAGAGCACTGCCTATTGTCACATCCTGAAGCTGTTAATAGGACGTTAAACAAAATAAAACCAAGCTATGACGATTGTCTATTTTAGTGTTTGACATTTTCACAACATGGTTGAGACAAGAATTATTTATTGGATCAAAACAATGATTTGTTAGTTTTATCATCCATAGCAATAAGTGAATAACGATAAATAATATGATACAACATTTTGAAAGATTAGGGGGTCTATAAATAAGGAAAACAATTGAACTATGCACATTTTTTTTTTTTGATATAACAGGAATCAAAAGCTTTTGAAAGATGCACATGTTTAAGCACCATATTGCAAAAGTGTTCACTCCTTAAATGATCTTCTGACAACAAAAATCCCGGACAGAAGCAACCATTTCATTATTCGAATTTGAAACTACAGAACAATTTCCCAGAGGATGTTGAATTATCTCGAAAGTACAAATACATTTACCCCGGGAAAAACAGATTTGACATAAAGCATGGAAAACAAGGAAAGCTTAGACCATAACAGGAAGTGAACTTAAAACATGAACAAATTACAATAGGGTTCAATGTAGATAAAGTTATTGTCCTTTTACTGGAAACTGTAATGGTTAACCATAACTATGACTAATAGACATAGCCATAGATAGGTACAGGATGAGTTTTAGCATACTATGAGTATACTTTAACGTAATGTATCTTTAGAATACCATGACACTACATATTTATGCTGCTCTCTCCATATTTTTTCAAAATGCAAATTAATAATAATTCATCATGAAGTACTGATCACTTTTAGTGGCTTAATTAAAACCTGTTTTAACTTTTGTTACAGATCTAGAGTATCATCTACACTCAAGGATAGGGGTATGTTTGAGGTGAGTCACCCATACTAATTTCTAGCTCCATATTACTTAACTGCTTTGGTCCTTGAAAGCTTCACCTGGTGAAATTAAAGGCTATACATGAAATGTCATTTTACATATTGAACAGTGTGCCCTTGATGCTCTCTGTGATCTTTGTGATCCTTGTGATCTCAGTGATGAAGGTGCTGTCAGTGACCTCAATGATCTCGGTGCTCTCTGTGATCTTTGTGATCCTTGTGATCTCAGTGATGGAGGTGCTTTCAGTGACCTCAATGATCTTGGTGCTCTCTGTGATATTTGTGATCCTTGTGATCTCAGTGATTAAGGTGCTGTCAGTGACCTCAATGATCTCGGTGCTCTCTGTGATCTTTGTGATCCTTGTGATCTTTGTGATGGAGGTGCTGTCAGTGACCTCAATGATCTCGGTGCTCTCTGTGATCTTTGTGATCCTTGTGATCTAAGTGATGGAGGTGCTGTCAGTGACCTCAATGATCTCGGTGCTCTCTGTGATCTTTGTGATCCTTGTGATCTTTGTGATGGAGGTGCTGTCAGTGACCTCAATGATCTCGGTGCTCTCTGTGATCTTTGTGATCCTTGTGATCTCAGTGATGGAGGTGCTGTCAGTGACCTCAATGATCTTGGTGCTCTCTGTGATCTTTGTGATCCTTGTGATCTCAGTGATGGAGGTGCTGTCAGTGACCTCGATGATCTTGATGCTCTAGTTGATCTTGGTGTTTTACAACTTGAGAGAAAAAAATGAAAAAAAACAACCTCTGTACCTATAGTTGGAGGTTGATGTTGAATTAACAATGTTATCCATAAAAACAATACATTAGAACATAAATGAAATCTGTTTGTTTGTCTAAAGAATACAGTGTTTTACACTATCAGAGATTTGCAAAATTAAAACCTCGCCATGTGGTTCTGGTTATAAAATGAACTTTTCAAAAAGACAACAAATATCTGCAGCATAAATATATGTGTAACCATTTGATATGGAGTGATTTGTATTTGTTGGATCGTGTACATACGATTGTTGCTTACGTTGTAGACTCTATACTCCTTCTGTGCGTATGCTGTCCACATATCCTTCAGGAGAAAGGACTTCACAGTCATCAAAAAGGAGATTGGCAGGTAAAATAAACAGTTCATCCTTACTTTTATATTTATAACAATTTGAAATTTAACAGTTGCTTCTTGTACCAGGATTAACTGGTAATAACACTATGGAATCAATAAAATATGATAGAGTTAACAATTTTGACATATAACAGTTTATGTAGAATTAATTAACATAGTACATATATATACATTTCCATAGTACAGCCTACAGATAGATGTTGGAAGCATCCTACAGAAAACGTCATTGTATAGGATCATTGATAAATGATAAATCAGTTGTAAACGTAACAAAAGTGGCCATTTTCAGAGGGTTTTCCCCCTGAAAATAAATAGTACACTGACAGGCTCCAAGTATTGATATCATCCTGAGATGATTTCATTAATTTTATTTAATCTTTTCTTTAGAATTTTAAGATCTGACACATTCAATCCTGCCAAGCAAGTGAAGAAGTTACCGGAGGGGCGACAAGGTGAGAACAAGATATGGTTTAATGGGATGGTTAACAAAGGGTATCTGACCAATCTCGGTTCAACTTTGACGTCTGTTGTCAGCAGATGAGAAAAGATAGGAAGATGAAGAAGAGAAGGGATAAAGTATATATATATATGTAGAGGAAGGATAACAAGGGAGAAGGTAATAGAGGCGGAGATCCCAATTCTCCCGGTCGGTTTACAGGTTAATCCTGCCTCACTGTACTGTTTAGGAAGCATTACCTGTGTTTCAGTGGGATTAAGAGGGTACAATATGTGACAGTATTTTCTGTATTCTTATGGGTGCTGTTTACAGATTTTGTAAAATTTTCAATAAAATTTTCTTTCTAGTTAACTTAATGAAAAGAAAAAAAATGTTGCTTGCATATGTTTATCATTGGAAGCTAAAACTTTCACTAATTATGTACTTGTTTTCTCTATTCTAGCTGTGAGTTACCATAAAATCGCTGCTGGTGAGTATTTCTTGCCTTGTCTTTATTGTTTCTTCTATGTGAGCATTCATGATAGAAGTAGCCTTCCTAAGGAGAGGACTTAGATAGACTATGCCTGATGTCTGATCCTATTGACTATTGCTTATATTGTCAATAAAATTTGTTGAAATTAAAATTGAAAGTAGCCTTCCTTGGTGAAGTGTTAAAGTCTGAACATGCATCATGTATGTTAAACTTAAATAAGTTTTTATCAATACATGTGTATTGTATTATGTAAATTCCACTAATTTCACAGCAAATCTTAATTATAATTTGACAGTATTTATCTTTAATTAGGTAAGTTTTGCTGCCTTTCTTACTTCCCTTACAATATAACTGATTTTTATTCCTAAGCATTAAGAGATGCCAAGAATAAGAAGTTTAGGAGGTTCAGAAAGCAGTTCATCAATAGAGATGAGAAAGATGAAAGCAGCGAAATAAAAGAGGAGCAACCTACAGGGGCCATAAGTAAGATGACGCCGGCGGAGTACCGGAGATTACAGCCGTAAGTAGCTTACGGGGGACTGTTATAATCAGGGTTACTCGGAAGGTTTATTGTGATTTAAATTATAGACTATAGTCATGTGATTGTATAATTCATGGATGGGTGATGACTTGATATTGAATTTTCTAAAAAAAACAATTAATTTTACCTGTTATGTTTTTGAGGTGCATATATGTGCGATATTATAGTTTATAGTTTGACTTTGAATATCAAATACATCCAGGTTTGATGCTGGTTACATCATGAAGGTATGTCACAATGTGGAGAATTAGATATTCTACAGTATTATTTAACATGTGATATAACAAAGCTATTTTGGGTAGGCATTATTGACAGGCTTAACATAACAGTTTATTTATATTTGTAATCAGGAACTTTCAGAAGGGAAAATTTGAAATATTTAATGTAAAAGATTATATGTGGCTGTTGTATTTGATTTTATTGACTATGATATGAAGTAATTTTCTGTTGTACAGGAAAAGACCAGCCATCAAAACTATTATAAAGTAAGTAGAATGGGCCCCAGGTTATCATCCTATCTTACAGAATCATTATAAGGTAATATGTATCAGCCCTGGTTTACTCTTGTCCTACAAAACCATTATAAAGTAAGTTAAATGGGCCGCAGGTTAACTTTCGTCTTACAAAACCATTCTAAAGTATTTTAGCAGTAAAGATTTTATAGGGTTGCAAAATTATTAGATTGATGAAATAATAGAGATTTCTTTATATCTATTGTAAAAATCAGTGTTTTCAATGAACCTTAAATTCAAACCCTGGTTTATTTGTGTATAACAGTCAGAGATCCCCAGCCATTGTAGCCATTTTACCGTCCCCTAAAGAGGAGGCCAACTGGTTGTTCAGAAGGAGAGGAGCTTTGTCACCTAAGTAAGCATCTACAGTCACTTGGACCTTTTCTATATTGTTCTGTACCAAATTTGACAAAACTTATCTCACTTTTAATCAAGATGAAAAAAGATTCCCTTTTCAATGATTTTGTATGAAGTTTTAATGAGGTCATCATAACTTGTCACTGTAACATGTTTGTTAACAGTAGCAATCAATCATACATCAGTTATTTCTCTTGGTTTTGTTCTTTGATAGTTCACTGTCTAAAAAGGGACGGGAGCCTGAGACAGAGGAGGCGGATGATGGAGACATGTTTGGAGATGATTTCTTTATAGAAAAGAAAACATTTAAGTAAGTAGTCAATGTTTTAAGAGTGTAATGGTTACTTACTGTACTAACTGCCGGGTATCAATTAATGAAACATTAATGTGCAACTCTTGCAACAGCTCACGAGATGATAAAAGAAATAGGTGAATCAGATGGTAACTAAAATTTTCTTCATATTGCACATTGACAGCAAAATGTTGGATTTCAGTTGTTTGCGATATGTCAGTATGTAAGACAAAGGGTCAAGATAATAAAATGATCTGTTGGTATTGGTGTAAATCATTAGCCCTTTGGCACTTAATAGAATTAGCACAACATTAATTTCAAGATCAGAGCATCATTTATTATAATTAACATGAATTAGAGTAAGTTTTTCTTATAATATGATATTGATTCCTTACAGAATTGGAATAATTGGTGAAGCCCTTAGCTTGTTTAATGAGAAGACCCTGACTCCCTTAGGGGCTAATGATGAGGAGGAGGGTGAAGAGGGAGAGGAAGGAAAGAAACAGTAAGTAATACATAGAGGGTCGCTTTTGACAATATATTTCTCATATGTCAAACTATATATTATGTTTTTAGATAAGAATGTTGAAAGATCACAATATTTACATCACATTAAAAAATCAAATTACTTGACTCCCAGAAATTGAGAACAGCAGTTTTAATTTGCAATTTTGAGGGACCCTTTCTGACAACGTTAGAATGTTTGACATATAACACTTTGTGTTCTGCACTACAGGGCTGCTCCAGAGGAAGGAACCCGGGACAAGACTCCGCCTCCAGGTAATATACTTTTAATTCTTCTACCCAAAGGTTAAGAAGAAGTCTTGATAACTACATATTTACAAATATGGGTCAAATCTATTTATGTCAAATGTTATTTTACCTATGAGAAATACAGAAATGTCACTTCACCATTCAGCTTCTCTCAATGCAAATTGTATTTCAATTGTAATGAAAAACTAGGGTTGTATCAGTACTCTTTATTTAATACCAATGTATAACTCTGGAATTATTTGATGTATAGCTGACACTTGATGGTACTTATTTACTTTATATGTATGTTACAGAGAAATAGTAAGTAACAGTACTTTACAGGGTGTGACACTCACTGGGCTAACAGCCATCTGGGAAGTGTGATTAATTCTCTCTCTTTGTACAGTTATATCACCTGGTCTAATATTTACAAAAAGGAAATGTACTCGCAATACATCTTAAATAATGGGTCTCTATATTTTTTTTACATAACTTTATTAAAAAAAATTGTAATGTATAGCCCTTTAATTTAGCAGCTTCAAAATTTGGCTGTTTTATTCCTGGAACATATTCGTGGAGTTTGAATTTCATGCATTGCCAGTTTAAGCCAGTAATCCTTAACTCTGTATCAGACAGGCATAAATCTGACGGATTTAAATTTTCTTTTTTGGAAATTTTGTGAAACTTAAGCATTGAAATATGAGTGCAATACAGTGAATCCATATTATTCCTTGATATTTTCGATACTTTGTGAGAATTGAATCATACACACTTCCCGAGATTGCTGAGATAGTCGGCTCTAGTCAAGGATCAGGAAACAATGGTGTGACTGGCTTATAATTTACTGACAGGAATGACAAGATTTCTGTCCTAGCTAGTTGGCTGTTTTTGAGGACTAGGAAATATTAATGGTGTGGTTGGCTTATAATTTACTGACAGGAGGAATGGCAGGCTTTGTTATGTTGAATGATTTTTAGGTGTCACTCAGTAATGCATGGCATTGAACTCAAATACATATTTATTTGCTTTAATTGATAAATTAATGCATGCTAATGTTTAAAAATTGAAACTGTTGAGAGATTTCATTAATCATGATTAAATACATAACATAACATTATGGTTGTGATTTCTAGATGAAGAAAGTGTACTGTGTGATCTTACTACTGAAGTGACTTAATTTGATCAGTTAAATGAAATAAAACTATATGTATATAATCTAAGCTTGATCACATAGATTTAGAAAACGCAATACAGGAACTGTGTGTAAAGAAAGAGTCAGCATTGGCTGTACTGCTGTTTATTAAGACATAGACTGTGTCACCAGCTTTATTTAGAAATATCATACCAAGGGCCAAGGTATACTTGAACAACTTGATTTTCCTTTATAATATAATGACCTAACAAGGTACGGGTAGAAAGGATGGTATATTGCATGTGTGATTTGATTACTGTTCATTACTGTTTAGTATACCAGACACTTGCACTGTAGAGTTCAGCAAACAGATTCTCACCATCTTTATAGTGGTATCTAAAGTTTTAGAATTAGAAATTGAAACTAGACAAGTCATTACCATAATTCAATGTAAGAAATCCATATAAACATTTAAAAATTATAGCAGTATATTGTATCATCATTTCCATTTTAATATGTTATTTAAATATCAATTTAATAATCAAGCCTAGGACATGTATTTGTTTTAATTAAAATTAGATATTTGTATAACTTGTTTCCATTGACTTAACCAAACTTTAGAAAACTCCCTTTGAATATCATCATTTCAATTAAAGCTAGCTGATACTCAAGACACATCCTTGGGACAAATAATCTCCCAGTTGCTATAGGAGATATATAACTGATATTACCTGTGTGTAAAACAAACATTGTAGCTTTTGAAGTTATTAAGTGAAAAATGTTGCGCATTAGTTTTGTAACGTGCGGGCGGTCACCCCTCCAACTACTGACCACGCTCGATGTTGCTTTGCTAGTGAGCGGGTCCCCAAGGTTATACCGCATCACTGGAAAGCTAGCTTGCCAGTAAGACAGTATTTTCCCCTCCTATTCCTTAGATGTCACACTCTCTCCCTAATTTGAAATATTGATCAAATGAAGGAGAAATCTTCATTGGCGGTTTCAGAGTTGGCACACACTGTAAACATAATTATTTTAGGGCACTCAAATTTAAGCACATTATCAAATTTGAACAGGTAAGACCTTTGCCAAGTTTTAAACTTTAACACACCATTTTGACATCGTGTCTATTGTTTTAATTGTGATATAATACAATGGTGTTATTACATAACATGTAAGAAGGTATAGGATAAATCTATAGTGTATACTTATTATACTTACAGAACAAAGATTGAGCCGGCAACAGACAGCTATATCCACAGGAACAACAGACGCTGCATTTGTTGATGAAGAGGATTGAAGTGTGTTATCAGAGGAGGGATGAATGTCCCAATAGTTGACAATTGAAAATCCAACACTGAGAAGAAAAGTGTCATAAATTTACAATATTAGAAAAGAGAAGATTATTTGTTAAGGAAAAACATAAAATTAAAAATTGTAGTTATAAGAACAAAAAGAGGAAATGAAAAAATACATGCAGTTGTAGTCACATATTCTGATTAAATAGAATTCCTATGTACTTTATCATAGTTTATGTTAACTCTTCCTTGTAAGTATGCAGGTCAGTATACAGGTCACATGGCCCACTTACTTACAGTTGGACTTAGTACAAGGCAACCAACATGTTCTGGTTGTAAACAGAATGCATAATAGCATGCTTGTTATCAATTTTATATATCTCCGAATGTTCAATTTCTTGACAAAATGCAAAGAATTGATTTCTGATAAACACAATGAATGTAATTATCAAACATCATTTGAAAATTTAGGAATTGTGATCAAATTTAGTATTGATGATCAAAGGTTATTCACTAAACTGGATCATGTTGTTACACACTTGCCTGTTTATGCATCCGTCCGGGGGGTTATATGTTCAGGGTTAAGGGAGCAGTATAAAGGTGTATGAATGTTGTTTATTTATATGTAATATATGCATCACATGTAAGATATTTTTTAAGTCTACCACCTGTGATAAATAAAAAAACATCTGAAAACAACTATTTGGATTGTCTCTTTTTATCACATAAAGATATGATGAGTACAATGGTAAGCAAACGACTACAGACACATCCTTAAATGACCTTAGCTGTTGATAGAACATTTAACTCATTGACCCCTGAAAACACTTTTGAACTCCTCCAATTCAAAGGTTGGAATAGTTCATTATGAAATTTCAGGGGTGAATGAGTTAAAGAAATAAAACCAAAACCAAACTTCAAACAGAAAGAAAGCCAGATAGAACTGTCACAAGACTGAGTCGAAACACATTCAGTTAATGCTTCTGTCTTTACCAAACCTTTCAATATTTTAGAGGTCTTGCACTTCAGGAACATGTTGCCATCATGGACATCCTGTTTGCATGGTAATGACACAAGAAGTTTAGTTGTTTCATATGTGGCGAGAAAAATCTTACCGTTACAAAACACATGGTTCTGTTCAGGTTGTGGTGCTTTTGGTCTTGTCTTTTTATGCAGAGTACCTGAATGTGTTTAATTTAGGAACAAAACCCGCTCAGACTTTAACATAATTTACCTTTAGTATTTTAATGTCTAATGTCTGGTTTAAGAAGTGTGGTGACCGTGTAAGGGTCACCAGTGGATTACAGAGCGTGGAATCTGTTGGTTTTTAGCTCACCTGGCACGAAGTGCCAAGTGAGCTTATGCCGTGGCGCGGCGTCCGTCGTCTGTCCGTCCGGCGTCCGGCGTCAATATTTTACTTTAAACGACTTCTTCTTAATAACCGAAAGGCCTACGGTGTCAATATTTGGCCAGAAGCAAACTTGTATGAAGGGCNGTATTATTTAAGGCAGCATGGCGGCAAAACAATCGCATCATCCGTTGATGTATGTAGGACACGTCAGATTTCCAGCTAATTCCTAGTGTTGATAGGTTAGAACTATTGTTCTGTCATTCTACAGTTAGCCTTGCAATGTCGTTTCTGAAAACATTCTGCAGGAAGAGTACGTTCGGCGTTGGACTCTGCTATAACTTACGAGGGACGTTTATGCCATGATCCACAAATGATATACTAAATGGTTCCATTTCTACCTGATTTAAAGAACTGTCAAATTTTAAGAAGGTTTGCAGCTAATATTTAAAAGTATGAAAAAAAAGAAGCATCTTTCTTGCTAAAAGAAAGCAGAGATAGTCGTTGCCTCCGAAGGATATCCACGGGGAGCCTTTTTCCATGTTATATTGTTACTTCGTGCTGCAGGTCCATGAGGAAGAGTTGTCACCAATACCTGACAGCACCATTGAGTGGCTTTGGAAAGATGGTTCGAGTATGCACCTGTCAACAGTCATAACTACAAAGACATCCAAGTCAAGTGTCTCCGTGGAAAAAAAAAGATTCGAAAGTAAGTCGGTACTTCCAGTAAGTACAGGGTATTTAGATATAGTGATTATACCAACTTGTATGCTACCAAAGCCTTCATGATTACTATTACTGTATTGAATGAAATACCAAAGTCAACAATGGAACGCTTGAAATTATGATAAGGAGTATATCTGAGGAAGTAGCTTGGGCTTCCACCAAGAGTTATTTCGGTCTGCATGAATAGCAGCTCTGCAGAATTAAAACTATCGTTGAGATCGGTAGTGGAGAGATCAAAGTTGCAAAATGTAGTTTGGTGATAATGCTGAGGGACTCCAAACACAGAAAAGTCGGCGAGGCAGAGATACAGACGAGAACGGGAAGGACGTGTTCAGCGAGTACTGTGTTAGGGAAAACAGATATGCTGGAGCTTGGGGATTTTCATTGAAAATTCCTACCACTGAAAACATGGATTGGATTTCCATTTCCAGCTGTGGATGAATGCAACAACCAAGAAAAACGGCAAATGGTCAAAAAGAAACCGAAAAGGTTGAGGAGGGAATTATGTTTAACTCGGCAAACAGGAAACATAGGAACAATATCATATCTAGTCCGTGTCCAAGGAATCAGTTAAGCAGGGTAGGTAAAGATGTAGGATGTAGGCACAGCAAAGTCTAGATATCCTGTAAGTGGGGGAAAGGGAAGGAAGGAACTAGTCAATATTATGTTGGGGAGAGATGGTTTGTAAGTGGCGTAAGAGCTCTCCATTGGTTTATGAGGGCTGATGTAATCAGCCTCCGTTGGCTGACGAGGGTTATTGTCAGACTGTCACAATAATGGATGGCGGCAAATGTGTTCCTATTGGCTGACTATGAAGAGAGTACATGAATCCCATTGACAAACGAGAGATTAGTCAGATAAGTAAATACCCACCGGTTGACGAGAAATGATGTGCAATTAATTGGTGAAGAATAATGTACAATGACATTGGTAAATAATGATATAAAATAGATCTCAACTAACAGATGTTGTTACTTGGTCTTCATTGATTGACAAAATTACAAAATATCTCAATGACGTGTCCGGCAAGGATAGTGTACTATTGACATAGAGATGTAAGGTGTATAATGGGCCTCAATTAACAAAAACGAAATACTCGTATACATTTAAATGGAATTGTAGTCCCCATGATATACATAAGCTGACAAAACAGTATACGTCTCTATTGACAGACAAGGGGTTGGTGGTGTGTTGCAGATCCTGATTGGCCGGAACAGATGGTAAAAATGGATTTCTATTGCTTACAGAAGAGATGGTCACCGCGCATCTACTACATCGGACCTTCATCCTTCCAATTTGACATGTGCAATAAAACTGTTATCGCTCTCTGTATTAAAGTGTGTGTATAATTGACATGTGCGTTTTGATGATAATAAGTAGCATGCCCAGGGTTTCTACTGGAGAGGTTTCATTATACATTGCAGATAGTTTCACCATTTGAAACCATCGTCAGCATTCACTACTTTAAAGGAATTTGCATGTCACCTGTGACAAAACTCTTTCCTTTAGTTGACAGAACACACCATGACGAACGCTGTCTTGTTGATATTGATTTATGACGTATCTCCGTTTTACGCTCCCGTATGATATTCCTTTATTTTCATTTTCATATTTGACCATCGAGAGGTGTACAGTGGTAACTATCATAACAAACGAAAGATGTATTGTGGTTATCATATCCTACCAACGAGAGGAGTACAGTGGTATCTATCCTACCAACGGCAGATGTTTTGTCGAAACCATATTCTACCAACCGAGAGGTGTGATTTTGTAATCATATCCTACCAACGAGGGGTGTTTTGTGGTAACCATATCCTACCAACAAGAGGAGTACTAATAGAATCTTTCACCCCCTTGGGGGTGAGATAGGAGAATCTCAACCCGAGGGGGAGGATTCTTAAGTTGCCAAACACGAGGCTTTGCCGAGTGTTTGGCAACTTAAAAATCTTTCCCCGAGGGTTGAAATTCCACTATCTCACCCGCAAGGGGGTGAATGATTCTTTTTCTCTTACCCTGTTCTCCCATTGTGTATCATATACACAATGTTATGATAACGTTACATGCTAAATTCAGGGTTGACGTGACGTTGATGGATTGTTGACGAGACGTCATTTTATTGTTGAAGTGACGTCATGCCATTGGTTATGAAAAGGGGAATCCCCCCGTCTCAACCCTAGGGTGAGACAAGGAAATCTCACAACGGTAAAAATGCGGATACACCTGTCCAGGGTAAGAGAAAGTGGTATATATCCGACCAACGAGAGATGTTTTTTGAAAACCATATCCTACCAACGATGTTTTTTTTTGTGGTAACCATATCTCACCAACGAGAGTTGTTTCAAGATAACCATATTCTACCAACGAGGTGTGTATTGTGGAATACCATATCCCTAGCGAGGGGTGTATTTTGGTAACCATATTCAACCAACGAAAGATGTATTGCGGTAACCGTATCATACTAACGAGAGGTGTATTATGGTAACCATATCCTACTACCGAGAAATCATCTTTAAACGAGAGGCGGTAAGCCAATCGAGTCGTACTTTATATCATCCTTCATCGTCCCCTGGAAATGCATTTGTACTGCCCAAAATTCGCCGTCAGCCATCACTTGAACAACGTGTTTCTAATACAATGAATATACAATAAACAATATCCACCAGCCAATGTAGGTACATCGAATCACACCTTTCGTCGGTCAGTCGATAGAGACGTGTTGTATACCATCATTTGTCGGTCAGTGGAAGATGTTGAACAACAAATGGAGACAAATAACACATCCTTTGTTAACCAATGGAGATCCGTTGTACATCGTCCTCAGCAATTGGTGAAGCGTCGAAACCATCCCTTGTGAGCTAGCGGAGATGCATTCCAAACCACTTTCTCCGGACAAGTGTAGATACATTGACTACCACATCTTAACTATTTTATGAGACGCATTGCACACGATCCCTCGGCAGCAAGTAGAAGAAATTTGGAAATACCATCGCTCGTCAGCAAAATGAGATTTTCACACTATCCTTTGTCACTTTATGGAGACGCACTGCACACCAACTGCAGTCAGCCGATGGAGACATGGTTCATCCCCTGTTAGGAAATAATGTTGTTCACCATCCCTCATCAGCCAAGGATAACGTTTTGCAAATAATACTCAATAAATAGAGAGGCTTTGCATCCCATCCTGATAAATCAAGAGACTGAACACCATCCTGATCAATATGTGTCAAAAGATTGATGGAAATGGAGATCGATACGTCTTCATTGATTGACCAGGATGGTGTTCAATGCGTCTCCATTCATTGAACACCTTCCCCATCGATCACTAGAGACATATTGAACACCACCCTCGTCAATCAATGGAGACGTAGTGACCCCCCCCCCCCCCCCCCCCCCATCATTCAATTAAAACTATTGAAGACCCTCATCAATCAATGGAGAGATATTGATTACCATCCCCATTAATCACTGGATACGTATTGAACACCATCCCCATCAATCAATGGAGACATATTGATAACCATCCCCATCAATCACTGGAGACGTATTGATTACCATTCCCATCAATCACTGAAGACGTATTGAACACCATCCCCATCAATCAATGGAGACATATTGATTACCATTCCCATCAATCACCGAAGACGTATTAAACTCCATCCTCATCAATCAATGGAGACGTATTAAACACCATCCCAATCAATCAATGGAAACGTATTAAGCACTATCCTCCTCAATCACTGGATACGTATTGAACACCATCCCCAACAACCAATGGGGACATATTGATAACCATCCCCATCAATCACTGGAGACGTATTAAACACCATCCCCATCAATCACTGAAGACGTATTGAACACCATCCTCATCAATCAACGGAGACATATTAAACAGCATCCCCATCAATCAATTGAGACATATTGATAACCATTCTCATCAATCAATGGAGACATATTGAACACCATCCCCATCAATCACTGAAGACATATTGATAACCATCCCCATCGATCAATGGAGACATATTAAACACCATCCTCATCAATCACAGGAGATGAATTGAACACCATCCCCATCAATCACTGGAGACGTATTGAAAACCATCCCTATCAACCAATGGAGACGTATTGATAACCATCCCCATCAATCACTGGAGACGTATTAAACACCATCCTCATCAATAAACGGAGACATATTGAAAACCATCCCTATCAATCACTGAAGACGTATTGAACACCATTCCCATTAATTAGTGAAGACGTATTGAACACCATCCTCATCAATCAATGGAGACATATTGAACAACATCTTCATCAATCAATTGAGACGTATTGAACACAATCCCCATCAGTCACTGGAGAAGTATTGAACATCATACCCATTAATCAATGGAGACATATTAAACACCATCCCCATCAACAATGGAGACATATTGATAACCATTCCCATCAATCAATGGAGAACCATCCCCATCAATCACTGGAGACGTATTGAAACGTATTGAACACCATCCCCATTAATCAATAAAGACATATTAAACATCATCCCCATCAACCAATGGAGACATATTGATAACCATTCCCATCAATCAATGGAGACATTTTGAACACCATCCCCATCAATCACTGCAGATATATTGATTACCATTCCCATCAATCACTGAAGACGTATTGAACACCATCCCCATCAATCACTGGAGACGTATTGAACACCATCCCCAACAACCAATGGGGACATATTGAACACCATCCCCATCAATCACTGGAGACGTATTAAACACCATCCCCATCAATCACTGAAGACGTATTGAAAACCATCCTCATCAATCAACGGAGACATATTAAACAGCATCCCCATCAATCAGTTGAGACATATTGATAACCATTCTCATCAATCAATGGAGACATTTTGAACACCATCCCCATCAGTCACTGAAGACATATTGATAACCATCCCCATCGATCAATGGAGACATATTAAACACCATCCTCATCAATCACTGGAGACGTATTGAACACCATCCCCATCAATCACTGGAGACGTATGAAAAACCATCCCTATCAACCAATGGAGACGTATTGATAACCATCCCCATCAATCACTGGAGACGTATTGAACACCATCCCCATCAACCAATGGGGACATATTGATAACCATCCCCATCAATCACAGGAGACGTATTAAACACCATCCTCATCAATCAACGGAGACATATTGATTACCATCCCCATCAATCACTGAAGACGTATTGAACACCATTCCCATTAATTAGTAAAGACGTATTGAACACCATCCTCATCAATCAATGGAGACATATTGAACACTATCCCCATCAATCACTGGGGACGTATTGAACACGATCCCCATCAATCAATTGAGACATATTGAACAACATCTTCATCAATCAATTGAGACGTATTGAACATCATCCCCATCAGTCACTGGAGAAGTATTGAATACCATCCCCATCAATCAATGGAGACATATTAAACACCATCCCCATTAACAATGGAGACATATTGATAACCATCCCCATCAATCACTGGAGACGTGTTGAACACCATCCCCATCAACCAATGGGGACATATTAATTACCATCTTCATCAATCATTGGGGACATATTGATAACCATCCTCATCAACCAATGGAGACATATTAATTACCAACACCATCCTCATCAATCAATGGAGACATATTGATAACCATCCCCTTCAATCAATGTAGACATTTTGAACACCATTCCCATCAATCAATGGAGACATTTTGAACACCATTCCCATCAATCAATGGAGACATTTTGAACACCGCCCTCATCAATCACTAGAGACGTATTGAAAACCATCCCCATCAATCACTGGAGACGTATTGAACACCATCCCCATCAACCAATGGGGACATATTAATTACCATCTTCATCAATCATTGGAGACGTATTGAACACCATCCCCATCAACCAATGGGGATATATTAATTACCATCTTCATCAATCATTGGAGACATATTGATAACCATCCTCATCAACCAATGGAGACATATTAATTACCATCTTCATCAATCACTGGAGACGTATTGACCATCCCCATCAATCACTGGAGACGTATTGAACACCATCCCCATCAATCACTGGAGACATATTGAAAACCATCCCCAACAACCAGTGGAGACGTATTGAAAACCATCCCCATCAATCGATAGAGATGCACCACACACTGTCAACATCAGATTGTACTCCATCCTCATCAATCAATAAAGACCTTCCTCGTCGATAAATGGAGACGTTTAATACGCCATCCTCGTTTATCGATAGTGAAATATAGAATATGACCAAATTTCTTTTTTTATGCAACTGTCGAATATGTTCTATTTTGCAAAGTGCTTTCGATTGTTCTGTACGAGTTGTCGCGCTTCTGTCAAAGTTTTTACTTGAAATGATTAGGATGATGATCTTAAAAAAATGTATGATCGTTTCCTCGAATCATTGTCTCAAAATACAATCTCCACTTCTTACAAATGTTGGATCACAATTAACATGCAGAACCTACATTGGCTAACATTTTATAAACCTGTCTAAAACTAGCTCAGAAATGGGACTGATACATTATGACATGAATCGATGCAACTCAAAAATTGTATCTCAATCCATTTGTTATTCCATTTTAACTTGTTAAATATGTTGGTTTATTTAATAAAGTATTAATGTCTTGGCGGTTGCATGAAGGCTGACGTGAATGTTATATTTACCTCCATCCAAACACACTTTAATTTGGAAGAATTTTGATTAATTTATAATTCACTGTACATACATAATAAAATGCCTCCGTTAGAAGCTGCATTCTTATTTGTTGGCTTTATTAATGATTGCATTAAAAAATAATCTGTGAAATGGAAATCTATATTTATATTAGGCAACCACTAATAATAAGAAAAAGAGTGAGACTTATAGACGATATTTCTATAAAAAAAAAATGCATTAATCTTTGCAGCATGGGCATAGCCACTTTTCCATAAGTAAACATGTGTCAATTAAATAACGAGATATACGATTCTATATTATTATCAACACAAAGTATACCGATTATAAGAAGCAACGATGTTATTTCTAGTATTTTTATCCAGTTTCCTTATTTTCAGTGCTCTCAGCTGTTTAGGGTTCGATGATGTCATAGCAAATGCTTTCCTCCAATGAAAAACCCGAATAACTGGCTAAGGTGCGCACGACTCTCGGAATTTGGCGTGGAAAGGAGAAGTCGGCCATTTTGGTTACTTGACAGAGGGGATTTATTTAGTATTTATGTGTCATCATCAGGACGTTTGGAAGGACATTGCGGCTGCCATTTCTTCAGAAATGACAATGGCCCATCCGTACAGTCCTGTGTAAATGGATAACTGGTTCAAATTCATTATAAGAAGGCCATTTTCCAGGGACCCAAGGGCACTGATAGATACGTTCGGTGCCTTGAATGACCCCGATATTTGTCGAAAAACACCGGTGTAAGGGTCGTTTTGTGCAGATTAACGTCGTTTTCCATTGAATGAGGGTATTGTTTTTAGTTGGATCTTTCATAACAAGATCTATGCTATCTCTCAGCCCCAGGAAACGTCAATTTCCGTCGCATCTACCTGTTCATCTCGAGTAATTATATTCAACATGTCGACCCGAGCACCTCTCCAAACCGTGCACGAATCGGTGACAGTCGATCATCATGTGAGTATATGCTCGATTAAGTTGAACACATATGAAAGCAATGTCTTAGAAAATTCCATACTTAACAAATGTCCCTTTCTGTGTATTATAGCCAAAAGATGATAATGCAAACCCTCGTATTACGTCGTCGAGGAGTCGAACCGCTGACGAGCCTCACATCGGCAAATACCGGCTGATCAAGACAATCGGCAAAGGAAATTTTGCAAAAGTGAAACTAGCCAAGCATGTGCCGACAGGACGAGAAGTAAGTATTTTATTTGCATTAGACCTTTCCATGATCGCCTCCTTGTGCGACGAAGGCGTTGCCTCTGTGCTTAGTCGGAACAGCTGATAAACTGTCAGTTTGTTGACACAGATTCGGATATGTCAAAAAACATGAAGAGGGTTTATAAGCATAAGGTCATTAGCCTTCATGTAGGCTCTGATCACTGTCATTGTATATGGTTCTTTTTAGTTATTAAAGGAACATGCATGAGTAGATGCAAAGTTAAGATATGCAGATTTAATTTGTTAGCATATAGCTTGTAAATTTTATTAACTTGCAGTGACGTTTATAGTTTGGTGGTACTCTTGAAATGATTTTCTGAGTATATTGAATGCCAATGTCATTTTTTGACGTCCAGGTGCTACAAATTACAAAACTGGTCTGTCGTGTCATATTGGATCATGTTTTGAGAATGATGGTTGGGGTAGCCTGTAGCAGCCTACTGTAAAAAATGAAGTCTTCAAGACAACTGCATTATTTTTGAGATATCCATTAGAATGTCCCAGATTTTCGAAGTACATATTATTCTGGCCCCATTGGTACGAATGACAAGGTGTCTGTTATACTTGGGCAATGTAGTTGATGTATACTGCATACAGTACAGATAACAGTGTGAGTGTTATACTGGGGCTATGTACACCACATACAGTACAGATAACAGTGCGAATGTTAATTTTGGGCCATTTGTATGGATGGCATTGTGAATGTTATTCTGGGGCCATGTGTACAGATGACACGAGTGCCTGTTATACTTGGACCATGTGTACATAACAGATAAAAGTGTGAATGTTATTCTGGGGCCGTGTGAACAGATAATAGTGAATGTTATTCTGGGGTCATGAGTACAGATGACTGCAGGATGACTGTTATAGCAGTGAGAATGTTATTCTGGGGAATGTTATTTTGGGGCCATGTACAGTACATACAGATAACACTAACAGCGTGAATGTTACTCTGGGACTGTACAGATGACCAAGTGTCTGTTATTCTGGGGCCATGTGTACAAATGGCATTGTGAATGTTATATTATTAGGCCATGTACTGATGACAGGTGTATGTTATTCTTATTTAGGCCATGTACAAACGAGTGTGTACTTTTCTGAAGCTATGTACTGGGTTTGTTATTCTGGGACCATGTACAGGTGACTGGGTGTGTTACTCTTGGGCCTTGTATACTGGTGATCCGACTGGGTATGTTATTTTGGGGCCATGAACATGCGACTTGGTGTGTTATTCTGGGGCCATGTGTGTATATGACAGGTGTATGTTATTCTGAGGCTATGTACAGGTGATCTGACTGGGCATGTTATTCCCGGGCCATGTACAGGTGACTGGGTGTGTTACTCTTGGGCCTTGTATACAGGTGATCCGACTGGGTATGTTATTTTGGGGCCATGAACATGCGACTTGGTGTGTTATTCTGGGGCCATGTGTGTATATGACAGGTGTATGTTATTCTGAGGCTATGTACAGGTGATCTGACAGGGCATGTTATTCCCGGGCCATGTATAGGTGACCGGGTGTGTTACTCTGGGACCTTGTATACAGGTGATCTGACTGGTTATGTGGTTTTTTGGGCCATGATTAATGAGCATGTGACTGGGTGTGTTATTCTGGGGCCATGTGTACAGATGACAAGTGTATGTTATTCTGGGGCCATGCACTGGCGATCTGACTGGATATGTTAATCTGGGGCGACACAGTGTGTATCTTATTCTTGGGCCATATTTAGATAACAGGTATATGTTATACAGCTTATACTAGTTCCATGTAAATACCAACTCGTTTTAATTAATCATGTGTCCTATATTGATGCCAAGGTGCATGTTTTTTCTGGGGTCATGTCACCCTATCAGATGTCAAGATGCGTAATATTCTTGGGTCATACAAATGCCAAGATGGATGTTATTTTATGCTTGTGAGGTGTTTCAGGGTTTCATTTTGTAATAATGAGGCTTAACAGAAATACTTGCATTGTTGGATAATTATGAATACAATGATGCAGTATACAATTGCTAGTTTTGAGGTAGTTAAAATGACAGATATGTTGTAATGTTGTTGAAAATGGGAAATCTTTGGTCAATTGATATATGGAAATGATATTTTTAATGTGTAGACGTTATTCACCTTGCATGATAATGCCCCATGTTTGTGTTAGTTCTATGTGTATTGATCACAGCATTTACACATCATATTGAGGCAGACCGTTATTGATGTTGTAATGTGGGGAAGAGCTCAGCATATTGACAAGCTACATAACACTTCATCAGGAAACACGTTCGTGTCTGAAAATCAGCAACCCTACACTTACAATAACATACTGATGCTAGTAGATCGGGAGCAATGTATGCAATTGTGAAACCATAATTACACATCAATGCACAGGAGTGGGGTTCAAGGTACTTTAGGACATGGCTATATTAACTGTGTCAAGTTGGTTTGACATAGAATAGAAACAACATACAGTATATTTACAGAGGGAAAATTCAGTGATAATTCTGTGCAAGTTTAAAGTCTTGTACTGAGTTTTTATTTCACTCATAGAATGTCTGAAAATGCTGAAAATGTACATGGTGAAATCTGTACTGTAATGGCAGATTACAGATTGATCACTGAAGATTTGTCTTAATGTAAATTTGATCAGGGATTTGAAAATATAAACAATAATATGGTCCCGTTATTGTTTGCGTTATGCAGGTTTTTGATTCATTATAATGTACTGTATGTAAACAATCAAGATGCCATGACATAAGTTATCTACTGTCAACTTTCCCTTTTAAAAACTTCTTGTCCAGAACAGATGAAAGGAGTTTAAATAGATTTGTAGTACATTTTTTTTGTATCCCTTTGCCTAGGGGATTTAATGCTGGAGCAAAGGGGAAGTGGGGATAAACTTTTGTAAATTACTTTTTAAGTAAAATTGAAATTATTTGAACTTTAAAGTATAAAATCAAGAAATTTCAACTTATTTAAAAGAATATGAAAAGTATACATCTTCATGCATTCCCAGGGTATAGTATTTATAATACTAGTGAAGAGTGGATGGGTGGAGTCCAATATTGGTGATCTTGATATTACTCTTTGGCAGCTTTAAAAAATGGTATTTTTTAGCACAGGTCTATGGGCTTATTGGATTCCCTTAAATATATATTATATGCATAAATGGAATGTCGATTTATTTTTGTAAACGTTTCTGCGAGACAATACACCCACATATTTCTGTGTTGATGTCTGGACTATCACCAGAAAAGCAAAGTACAAAGCCCAAGTCATGTGTTATCTACTGTTGCTGTAGCTGCTGATGCCCTTTGTGTTTTAAGTGGCTATTCTAGGCAGATGGGTAGACATTTCTTGACCTGTGTAGATAGTCATAAATTACTGGACGAAAGAGTTGTCTGAAACTAAGCGCTAAGAGAGGGAGGAAATCACCAATTTCTCATAACCTCTGATGTCAGAGAATGTCATCACTATCTAGGTATACCCATTTATAAATCACTCTGCAACTGTAGTCTTCTCAGAAAAGATGTTTGGCATTATTTGGAGTTTTACTCTTTTTATAATCGATATGTCAGGATTTCTGGTTTCATAATGGTATAGATTTTACATTTAAGATATTCATGGAAAATACATATGACCCAATCTACTCATTATTTTGTTCACTAAGTATTCATATTATAAGTTGTGTATAAAAATGTTTGTAAGAGGAATATCATGAAACTAAAAAAAACTAAAACAATACTTAAAGCTATCACTACTGAATAAGAACAAAAACAGTTAAAAGAAAAGTAATAATAGACACATGTTAGCTTTGCTTTTTGTTGTGAATATTAGTATTGAGGTGTCTATTTACACTTCAAATTCAAACACCATCTATTAAAGATGTTAAATCTTCATTTGCATTGTAAACATTATATTTAATTAGAGCAAGAATTAACACAACTGTTTGTGTGGCATAAATTATCAAACAATATACAAATGAACATGACTGAAATGCAAACAACTATAAATGTATATGTTTCATTAAAAGCCCTTAATGCGTTATATGGAGTGATGTATAACGTTTATAAATGGCATGTGAAAGTTATCTCTAGACATCTTTGGTTCATTAGAAATCTGCTGTACGGATCAAAAGAAATTAAATGCAGACATGTTTTTTCACCAAAAATATGGTTTAGGGAAAATGTAATTCTCCTGTGGAAATTATAGGTCATGATAAGGGGCGAAGGGTATAGCTCCAGCTTACTCTTCTCATTTATTCCTATAAATACATATAGTGAGTTAGTGACACACAGGATGAGGGGAGTTGGCCAGAGTTTTAGTCAGATGATGTTGTTTTGATATTCTAAGCATGCTGTGTTATGAAAATATGCCTGTGTATGTATATATATAGTATAAAGCCACATGGGTCTGTAATTTAGTGTGCTTGGTACACTGGTGATTCATCAAGGTTGGATTTATTTAGGGCCTATACTGCATATCATAACACACAGCTAGCAGCTTCAAACGATTTCTTTAATGTAATTACAAGTTAATAATCCAGACTAGGAGATTCTGACTGGGGTGGTTTGACTGGTGTCTGTGATCACTTTAAGTCCCTTCCTTTTTCCTCATCACATTTTCATCTAACGTTGTGTTAATGTTGTTAATTAATGTGGTTTTGGTCCGTAAAGAATGAAGCCTCTTTTCAAGTTGTACACTATTTATATTTCTTAATGATTTGCATTTAATCACAGGTGCAGCTGGTTTTGAATGAAGATTGTTTCTTAATTGGATTTTGCAAAAAAGTACAAACATTGTAAATAAAGTAAACTGTTCTGACTGGCTAGATATTTAAGATTCCATTCATATTTGATAATATTGTACACACTGACACCTATATATATGTTTTGTGTCATTTTGCAATTGTCCAAATGACAATTGTATGTTTTTTGTTTTGAATGCCTCCTGAACATGTGTATCTGACCCGTTAAGTTTATTCTATTTACAGTCCTAACCCATTGTTTTTCTGTACATTTCAGGTGGCCATCAAGATCATTGACAAGACACAGTTAAATCCATCAAGTCTACAAAAGGTATGTAAATTAATTAAAGGGGCTGGTCGGGGGAAAAAAAATCATATTGGCTAAAATGGCATACACATGTTTAAATACCTTCTTATGAAATATACCGATACAAATTTGGCTGAAATTCACTCCCTAAAAGTAAAAATTATAATTATATTAAAGAAATCATAAATCGTCACCTGACAGTCTAAAACTCTCAATTGACCCAGATCAGTGATGTAATTTTACCGCACGCGCGTCATCAACAAGGCCAAATGTAAACATCGCGGCGAAAGAAAAAGATGCATGCAAAAGACATGACAGGCACGAGGTATCAATACCGTTACAAATAACAACAACATATAGGTAGGAATACTACACTTGAATCATACATGACCGGTGAAAACAATTATTTACGTATAGTATTGCTGTCTTGTCTGCTAGTTGAGTCCGACATGGCACATGACGGCATGCTATTGTTGTTATCTTCACTGCCTCACTTTCGAAACAACCATGTGACATATATAAATAGATCTGCGCTAAATTTACGCGGGGCTTCCCCGAGATTTCAGTGGTCAAAACTGGACATTGCAAGCAGAACTCGGCCATCATAATGCCGTGGTATAACTTTTGGAAGGCCAGAGAACGCATTTAGACCCATTTATTTTGTATTTTTTTCCGCCGACCAGCCCCTTTAAACACTACAATATATTATTATATTATTCATCCTGTAATCTATAAACCTTTAGATACTTTTTGATGCAAGATGTAAATATATTGTAGATAACAAAAAGCTAATGATGATCATGATAATGGAAACGTAAGTTAACAGTGGAATTCACTTGTTGCCAGGCTAGGGGAGAGGGGACAGGTTATCACTGGTGCCCCAGCTGTACCAGCTCAGCGTTTATTATCTGTTAGATAGTACATAGAAGTACTGTGGCCTAACAGAGACACACCTTGTTGTCAATGTTTTAAAGTGCATGGATGTTGTCACTGCAGTCCCATCAAGCCCCAGATTAATGCAGCTCATTAACCAGGTTTTCTGTGTTCAATTCGATCAGTTGTGCCCCATCAAGTCCCAGCTGTACACCGCTGAATACCAGGTGGTCTGTGGTAGATAGTACATGGGTACATTAATATTATCAGTGGCTCCAGTACATGGTTGTCATCTGTGTCTCCATCAAGTCCAGCTATACACTGCGAAACTGCTCAATACCAGGTTGTCTGTGTTAGGGAGTACATGGGTACATTAATATTATAAATGGCTCCAGTACATGGTTGTCACCAGTGGGTCCATCCATGGCCAGTCTAGCTGTACAATGCTAAACTGCTCAATCATGTTTTCTTTGTTTGGTAGTACATCGGTTGTCTGTGTTAGGTAGTACATGGCTACACCTTTACATTAACATTATCAGTGGCTCCAGTACATGGTGGTCATCCGTGTCTCCATCAAGTCCAGCTGTAGACTGCTAAACTGCTCTATACCAGGTCGTCTGTGTTAGGAAGTAAATGGGTACATTAATATTATCAATGGCTCCAATACATGGTTGTCATCAGTGGGTCCCGCTGAATACCAGGTGGTCTGTGGTAGATAGTACATGGGTACATTAATATTATAAATGGCTCCAGTACATGGTTGTCACCAGTGGGTCCATCCATGGCCAGTCTAGCTGCACACTGCTAAACTGCTCAATAATGTTTTCTTTGTTTGGTAGTACATCATCACTGAGGGTACATTAATATTATAAATGGCTCCAGTACATGGTTGTCACCAGTGGGTCCATCCATGGCCAGTCTAGCTGTACACTGCTAAACTGCTCAATAATGTTTTCTTTGTTTGGTAGTACATCATCACTGAGGTTTCAAGCCCTAATTATAACTGTACAGGAAAATATGCCAAGTTGTTCCTGTTCGATTTATACTACATTTGTACAAGGATATTGTCAATAGCCCCAATAATTCCCAGTTGTACACTGCTCAATGCCAGGTTGTCAGTGGTAGTTTATGGATGTTGTGGAAGGCCCAATCAAATCCAAGCTGTGCACAACTTGATGCCAGCTTGTCTACTTTCAGGAGTAGGTGTAGCATACAATTTGGTGTTGACATTGGGTGAGTCATTTATACACTCTGCTTTTGTCATCGATGTCTTGTGGTCTGTTCTGCTGAATTTGTCTTTTAGTGGCTGCACATTTTACAGGCTAATGATAATCTGGGTTCCCTATTCAGCAACTGCAGACCTGTGATATTTTTTGATAATGAATTATTGGGGTCCATGGCTATTGATTTTATGTTGAAAAGTTGATGAATACAGTGCAGTTTTCTTGAAAATGTTTTACATTTCCTTTAAAATTACATGTCTATTCCTACAATTATCTAGTTGTATAATCTATATTATATATGCTATAGTAGATCACACCATATTTGAGAGAAAACATTCTGAAATGGGTGGCATGGATCACTGAATTTTGGAGAGGGTGGGTGTATATTTTGTTCAAACTGGTTGAATTAGAGATAATTTAAGTTATTGTTCCCAAATCACGGCATGAAATAATTTCCTCAAAAAAATAGGGAGCTGGCTTAAAAGTGTCCTGAATGCATATCATCATAACCGATGTTTGGATTTATAAGTTGAATTTATTTCAACTAATGACAAATAGTCAGATGTGTACATTTTCAGGTTGGAGTAAATTTGTATACAAGACAGGGCTCACCCTGGACCTAAAAAATCAGTAGCCAAAAGAGTAGCCATGTTGGAATTTCAGTAGCCAATTTTTTTTTGAACAGTGGCCATACTTTCTCGGCCCCCAACTGTTAAAATCATTAAATATTTAATATTTTTTGAAGTGCAATAATATTCAACATGATGTTAAATTAAGGAGTACTCGGTTAAAATTAAAAAAAAGCATACATCATGTTCATAATTCAATCCATAATGTGATATGTTTTAATACATTCAGATTACATGGCTGTAATTTTAAGAAAATATGACTTAAAAAAATATCTCATTTTCTTGACATAGGAAATGTAAAAAAAAATCTAGGTTGAAAAGTTTAAATTTTAAGATATTATTCGCCTTTAATTCCATGCCTTCAATAAAAAAAAACTAATAAAATCCAAATCAAAAGTAGCCTCAGTGATGCAATATTGATAATTATTTTTCCTGTGTTTACATTCACCGTAATTCATGTTTTATGTGTATGTTTTTTTATATATTTAAAAAGACAACACATTTCAAATGTATATGACAGTAGAACACATTTGAAAGGAAAAGGACAAATATATAACGGTATTGACCAACCCTTCGATATAAATCGGAAGCACATCACATTGCGCAACTTAGTCATTCCCGTGCACGTGTTGTCGATTGGCACCTAATTTAAGTGACCGTCGAAGTCATTCTGAACAGTTTGCTGTTCTTAAAACTGCATAACTGACTGCGATGCTAAATAACTTTCCTCAATCACTTGTAATTTTAAAACGTCTTACCACGAAAGTACACAGGTATACGATATTGGCCTATCGTTTGAAGTGATCTGAAAGGCCGAAAATTGGCACTTTGACATGGCCATACTTACACTTTCTAATCAAGCATATTAGCCGTATTTATGCTTGCTACTGTACTGGAAAAGGTAAATGAATACCATGTTCACTAATTTAAATATACTGAACACATAAATTTGTTTGATACAGTGTTTGAACGAGTTTATCAGATCGGTTTAACGGCGCCGCCAAATGTACGTGTGCGAAATCACCTATGCGTGACTCGCTTATATTATCAGACTGTTTTCTCAACGTCAATGGGTCATCCAATTAACTTGACCCCACTGTCCATTATTTTAAAGAATTATAACACCTTTTGCCAGCTGAAGCTTGATAATTGACATTACAACTTAGACAAAAGCATTAAACTGTTAATTAACTTGCAGTCATACAGCGCGTGTGCTGATCTGTGATGGCCCTGATTATGTTTACACAATCAGTGTCAGCCACAATACACACGTGAGCTCGAGTAGACAGATATCGTTTTCTGGGACAAAGATACAGAGTTTCACCATTTAAAAAAACTAAGTAGCCACATCGCGAGCCCTGCAAGATGGTTTTAATATATGAATGTGTTCGGGCATGCTATGTCAATCACTGACTATCAACAGCATTTATAGAAAATTATCATCAACCTAAACAAATGCTGGTAATTAGGAAATTTCCTAAAATATGTTTTTGTAGAAATTATTTAATTGTTGTAAACAATGAGTGTTTCTTTTCTTTTTCAGCTGTTCCGAGAAGTGAGAATCATGAAGTTACTTGATCACCCCAATATAGGTAAAATTAATTTTCTGGGATAGAAACATTTTATTGGTGTGTTAAAACAATTACTGAATTATTAGAAATCTGCAGGGGGTTACCAATAGAACATCTAACATTTGTGTTCAAACCAGAAACTTACCATTTTTTCTAAAGAGAGTAACTAATTCAAATCTGTAAGGTATTATGTAATAAAGAAGTAGATGATATTGTAGTTGGGGCCCTGTTTTGAAACCACCTGTAAAGCAAATTAGATTCTAATGGAAAACCTGTCTGCTCATTGTTCCAAGTTGTATCCATGTAGACAGCCAGATCTACCAAACATTCAGCCACCTCTATAATTCAAACCTGGAGTTTTGCCTGTGAGCTTGTTTAGTAAGGAAACTGATACAATGCCATCTGTTTTCCAAATCCCTCTATTTTTACCGGCAATTTACCAACAGAAAATCTTGGTCCACCATTGAACCACCAGAGAAAGGGCCTAGTGTTAAACAGCTTGCAGCAAGTGGGATGATGCTATTCAGTATTACAGGAAATAAATCTCGGTCCTAGAAGAGTACATCTAGGGGTTAAGTAAACAATTGAGATAGAAAATTAGCAGAGAAGCTCATCTCATTCACATACAATGTAGACCATGCCACATGTACAGTTCACTAAAACGCTGAACGATTTTAAGTATTGGCAATGATTAAACACTTCTAGACAAAACTAATTATGCAAATGACTTACTATGAAATTGAACAATTTTCTTGTGATGAATGCTATACAATAAAAAATCATTAAATTGACAACCATATGACAACTCATCATCATTGATATGTATACATGTACCAGTAATAACATTTTAGTATATTATGTAATTACAGTATTTGGATGGAAGTATGTATGGAAAAGTTGAACTCTTAATATCTAGACTAATCGATAAAAGCTTTATGATTAAGTAATAATCAAAAGCTTTATGATTAAGTAATAACCAGAAACAATTTTATCCTTCATTAAAATTTAAATCCTTTGTTTTACAGTCAAATTGTTTGAGGTGATAGAGACAGAAAAGACGCTGTATTTAGTGATGGAATATGCCAGTGGAGGTAAGCCAGTATAATCCTAGAGATGCAACTATCGTAATATTATCATTTCATCAGTGTTAAACATAGGGCAGATTTCCTAGTGTAAGCACAGCAGGTTAGATAAGTAGAATGTGTTGAGATATTGGAAGATTGTTGGCACGGTCACACACAAATTGGTAAAGGTGTAGAGCCAGTAGGTTTCCATTAGTATTGCTAGCTGGTGTTGTGTATTATTGAATTGTGCGTGATGAGTTTTTTGCGTTGCTATAGAGCTCTAAAGAAAGGTCAGAGTACCTTCCATGCTGCCAGCTAGCCTGTTCAGACTTAAGTGATTTCTATCATCTTCTTAGCACTACATGTTGACACGATTATTTATGGGGTTACCCTGAAAACACTTGTGTTTTCTACATTTCAGGTGAGGTGTTCGACTATCTTGTTGCACATGGTAGAATGAAAGAAAAGGAAGCTCGAGCCAAGTTTAGACAGGTGAGTTGTTTTTTTCTTGCACCATTACCTGAAATAGTTTAGACAGTTTCTGAGCAGGCTTGTACTTATATTCGTCTGTGGTTTGTGTAGAACTCTAGCTTGATGAGCATTTTCAGTTGATTGCATTTCTACCCTTTTTTTCCTGTGCATTGTCTGACAGAGCCTGTATTCATCATACATAATGGAATACAATAATGTATACAATGCTGTCAAACTGAAAGCATAGTTGACATTAAGAGAGTTTTATCCTGTTTGATAACACAAATTAACATTCACCAAGTATTGCGTTGCCTAATGGCCCAATGTTTAATTCAAATCGTGTAGAATGTTGAAGTGGATTAATTATAGGCCAATTTTGTTTATTTTGTAAGTAAACTTTGAAACCTTCCAACATAACAAAAGCTGACAATGGTTCCATTTCAACGACATGCTTGTTACAACCATGGCAGCATGTCCTGATGCAGTGATGGTCTTCACAATAAAGTGTGTTTTAGGTTTTCAGTTATAAAAATGATCAGCTATAAGATTAAACAAATTAGTTGTACAGCCTCAAAGTCCAACTTTACATTGAAGTGACACGAAACATTAAGTATTGGATGAATTGCATATCAATAAGTGTATGTGTTGGTGGTGTTATGGTATCACTAGTGCAGGTGAACCAGCTGTTGTTGTGAGTCGACAGGAGGTGTTGGGGTACACGTAAGTGTAGTCCTTCAATTTGTATAAGTGGTTGTGATGATTCAGGTGGGATAAATAAGATTTATGAATCTCTTGTATTTGGTAACATTTTTTCAATTTTCAGAAAAACAATACCCTAGCAGTTTTATGTATTTATTAGCTAGTGGTAAAGAAGAATCCTGTTAATCACGTAGCACATTTCAGAAAAGATCTGCTTTACAGTACTGGAATATTGGATTAGGCCATACATATACATTTAGAGACAGAATAGACAAAAATGGAGAATGTGTTCTTATGATATATTTAGAACATGACCAATTTGGAAAAAAACATGTTTGTCGCAATCTCTTAATGCCAAAAAACGAACTATGAGTATGATTTGGAACCTTTTCAATACTGTCAATAAATTGCTTCTGAAAAGAAATCTGCACACTACAGAACTTTTTAATGGAAACAAAAGATAAAGATATACTGATAAAAAAATCAACAACAGTGCTCTGTGAGTAAAAAATATAGAACAACAGTGTGCTCACACCCTGGACTTACAATATGGTCATCCACACAAACTGAGGCTTCTGATCAGCAATAGTTCCCTAACCTTGCATGTCTAAAACAAGTTTGGAATTTGGAAATTTAAATACACTAAAAGTGGAATTCTATAGTGTTCTGTCTGCTGTGGGACGAATCCATAAGGAGATTGTCGTACATGTAACACAAGTTTACCAGGTGCCTCTGCTTGTAGTTGTACACTGCAGTACAGATTACAAGTCCAGTGAGTTGGAGCCATGTCAGTAAAAATGACTTGGTAGTTGTGTTTACATTCAAAGCAATAAGGGGAAAAGGAAAATAGTGTAACAACCACACAGTTAGGTTTTAGTGTGAAGGTTAGATTACTGGATGATTGATCATATACCACCCGTCCTAGCCTTGGAGAAACACAACAAATCAGCCTTGTTCACCTGATCATCTAGGTCCACTGTCAGACTGCTATATATATACTGTCGCCACACTATTACAGCACATGTGTACAGGAGCTCGAGTAGAATCAGTGGAGCAGAAACTGCTCGGTCATGTGTGACTAATCAGTATGCTTGCTTTCATATCATATATATACAATGTATTACATGCTGTCATATGTTACCTCTGGAAATTAAACCTATTTATACGTATATATATATCCTGACAGTTTAATACAGGCAAACGTATTTTAAATGCTGTCAATCCATAGGGACAGTAAAATGTACCTGGTTCATTCCTTCATTGCCATATGGTTAGCTAGTTCAACAGGAAATTAAAAGGCATTGAAAAGTTCAAGGTTGATAAAGAAATAGGAAAAACATCATAGAAGGTATAACTCTTTGCAGAAGTTGACTAGAAGCTGTGCTTGTAATGTTTGGAACAGAATTAAGTGTTGGCAGGTTAAGAATTGTATTTAACAGTCTGTATTAGTTATATCTGTACCCTACATTAACCATTGTACAGCCGATATACATTATAAGGTTGTTAGAAGTATGCTATAGAAATAATTAAGAAAAAGTGTGAACAATGCTCTTTTGATATGGAATAAAGAGATGTATAGCAATGGGTTGGTTGACACATATGTTTCAAGTTTGATGTATAAATCAACTTGAAACCTTCTGCAAACAAAAAAGTTTTCCTGTTCCACTTACCGTTAGAATAACTGAACCGCGAGTGAGTCAGAGGTGATATAATGTTCTACTACAGGAGATTAATTTATTTCTAATATATCCAGTGTTCAACTTTTACCTGTGGTGTATATAGTTACCTGTATCTATAAAGTTTCATTGTTACTACCTAGTTTGAATTCATAGCTTTGTGTATCGACCATTAACAGTAAAGATACTTAAGGTGAATAAATACCATGTTTGTTTCTACATGTAAAGCTTGCTGAATGTAGGGCTAACTATTGGATAATATATAGTTAAGATTTGCTAGCTCTGTATGGTATGTATGGGAGACCGTAGCCTCCAAATATATATGTACATATTCATAACAAATAAGTATACTGTACATGTATATAGCACAGTTGTTAGTTTTGATCTCCCTGGTATATACCACTGCCTGGTATCTGTTACTTTAGCAACACAAGTATAGATATAGTACAGGTGGGAGTTAATAGCGGACCTAAAACCTTCAAAATCAAAATCATTTGGGACAATAAAAGAAAGTTTTGAACTCTGTTGAATAATGGCCTGCTTTGTATCTGTTACTTTAGCGAAACTCTACAAGTATATAATACAGTTGTGGGTTTGGAAACTAATAGAACCTGCCTTGTATGCTTCATGTTACTTTATATACACAGAACAAGTTTATGTGGTACAGCTGTGAGTTTGGATACTAATAATAACCTTTGAGCTGCTTGGTATTAATTCCTGCCTCATATGTCTGTTACTTTAGCAACACAGTACAAGTATAGTACAACTTGGTGTGGTCTGTTGTTTATAACAAAGACAGCCTGACAGCTACATTATCTGACAAGAGTGGAGAGAACTGGTTCTGTCTAGGTGACGAGGCCTAGTAGCTGTCATGGCTGAGTGATATAACCTTTTACACCTGACTGCACCTATGTATTGATAATAATGGAATGCTTAATCTGGTGACTGGAGTGGTGATTGTACAGGGTTATTACAGCGAGATGGTGGCTGGAGTAGTGATTGTACAGGGTTACTACAGCGAGATGGCGGTGTATCAACTACTACACTCCTAGGGTCAGATATCCAACACTGCCCTTACTCCTCCGCTTCTTACACAGCACTACACTCCCAGTCTCGCTCCCAGCATGTTATCTTCACTATAAAGCTTTATCTCGGGACATAGGAAGTTGGTTAGATAGAAACCATATCATCATATTAGGGTCATGTTTCATCCTCATTTTAGGAAGAGTCAGATCTAATTAGAAAGTCAAGGTTCATGTAAATTGTAATTACTAATAGTACTGACATTGGTTCACCTCTGTCGACACTATAATGTCAAGGTCACACAAACATAAATATACTTTAATAGGACACTAATCCTACATACCAAACCTGTATGGGAGGGGGAGGATTGATCAGATTGACATGTTTGTATTAACATATGTTTTTGTGGAGTGATACTCTTTCTGTTTCAAATTTGCCAACATTGAATTTGTAGACATGGTGGTGACAGACACATTTTTCATTGTAAAATCACTTAATGTATACTGTGGTAGATTTACACCATTTTACACCTTTGATTGGATAATGGTTATCAGTTTATCAGAATGCACATTACCCATAACACAGCTGTAAAATTAAGCCCAAAGAAAGTTTCAGATATCACAAGGTGTGAATCGAACCTTGAGTGCTAAACCAGGGTTAATCAATATTCTGGTTAACTATGACAACCCAAAGTGGGGAGCAGGTTTGATACTTTCATGTTCTGGACGCTCAGCAATACACCTTATACCTCAAACAGAAAGATTGACTCCGGGCTATAACATACACCACAGAGAGGCACATACCCACGGATGATAGGGATTATAAATCAATGACCCCTCCCTAGACTTGTACTCTCAGGATACTTTGTTGACTGGATCATTTAGAGGGGATAATCTGAGTGATGTAGTCTTTGACTGGGGACAGGCAGCCTTAATGTGTTCTATAGGCATCACATCAGTTAGTTACCACTAGAGGTGTTCAGCTTTACACCCTTGTTAGCCAGAGTGATGGTCCACTGATGTTACTGATCAGATAGTACCGCACACAACTATATATTCAGAGATTCTTATGACCCTTTATGACTGTATAAACCTGCATGCTGTAGTGATGATATGCCATATAAAGTACATTAGCTGAATATTGAAAGTCTAAATCTTTGTAATGGAAAACAATGATGAAGACCTGTGCCATACAAGCATAGACAGAATGTCATGTGAGCTTTCTGTAGATAACATGTATATATAGGACAGCTTTATGTTATCGGCTGAGTCATCAGTTTCAAATAAGCCAGATCAGTGATGCAGTGTGTGACTGTGTTTGTCCCTTAATTGTGAAAATGTTGATGTCTGTGGGTAATATGTTATTGACTAGCATTTAGGGGGATCCATTTAGGAATACTGTTACCATGGTTACCAGCGTATTACCACTAATAAATTGATGACATGTTGGCCGCATGGATTTGTTTGGACATACCTCTGTATTGATGGCTTATAAGTGGCAAACTGGTCTAGTACAGGAAGAACTCCGCAGAACTGGATGATATCATTAGGAACAGCTAGAGCTGGAATTGACTTCTTTGGGGGAATAATGACAAGTCGCTCCACACTACCACTGTAACATGGCTTAATTATATTCATTTCTTATGCAGTCAGTGTTTTTGTTACCTGAATTTTACAACAGCCTGTTTTTTTATGAATTGGGAAAATAAAGCATTATTTGTATTGAAAATGGGAATATATTACTCAGTTTTTGGTCATTTTGGGAAAATAAGGCACTTTTTAGCTAGGGGAAACAGCCTGTATTTGGCAGTAAAACTGAGCATAAAAGCCACTGGCAGTGGTTTGTCAACCTTTTCGTACAATGTTTCGGTCAAACTTCGTAAGAAGTTGAAATTGAAAGTGATTTAGAGTATCAGACAGGATAAAATATCTGGCTCAGACAGGTTTTGATGGTATAGAAGGGCAAAATCATATAGGTAATACATCGGATTGATATTATGGTCACTTAGTGGTAAACCATTCAACTGTTAGTGGTAGAGATAGGGACCAAATCTAAACCCATGACTCTAATTGATTCAGAGGGACCATCTATACCCTCAATCAGTATAGATGCCCTCTTTTTCCTGGTCCTTATATTATAATACAGGGACCAGTTTACTGTTTTATTGAACCCTCAGATTTTCAGTGGTAAAGAATGGCCACTTGTTAGTTTATTTTCCCCCTCAGACGTTTAGTGGCATAGGACCAGTTATTGGTTTATTGGCCCATCAGACCAACAGTGGTATATATATATATATATATAGCTATAGACACTAGTCAGACCTTGGATGGCATGGTTCTACTTACCAGGAAATCAATTAGTCATGTTGACCACCTGTTTGTTTTGGAACATCATAAATTTTCTCTCTCACTGATCATGAGAAGTGCATAAAATATAAAAAAAAATCAAGCCTGTTCTAAACAATTACTTGATGTGTCTATACATATGATAGTGTCTGCATTTTCAGTTTATGTGTATAGGTGTGGTAATGTAGCTGTGTGGTAATTTCACAGCTGAATGGCTACGATATATCATGTAGAGATAGACTCTGTCCTATATTGTTTCCTTGGCTGTGTACTGGCTGCACTTGTGTTTTGTATATTTGACAGGTTAGTCTATTGTGCTGTTAAAATATGTTAAAAAGGCCCTGAGGCAGTCTTTATTGTATACACTTAAAATGAAAGGACATTTTACAATATTATCAAATACAAGTGACTGAATCCAGTGTAGAAGTCTTTAAAATGTTTTAAGTAACAACAAAATTTGAAGCACCTGGTTTCTTTCTCAGCCTTTTAACATAATTACTGACCGTGGCAAGAATTTTGTCATTGATGTTATGAACTTTCTTCAACATAACAAGTTTGCTTTGTGAATGAAGAAAATGGGCGGGAAGTTTCTCTGCAACCTGTACACTAATTCTGTCTATGACAGCAAGATATAATTCCCCAGCAATAAAATTCATGACAGCTTTTGCTTCAGAATAAGTTTCTGCTTGATTTAGTTTGACATGTATACTAGCAGGGTTGACATAGTCTAAGGTATGGTAGCAGACCCAAATATTGTGTCAACTTTCAATGACCAGGTAACGTTGATCATGCTTTGCCATATTAGTTTATCGGTAGCCATCATGTAACTAATGTTTGGGCCCTTGGGCAAATTTTCCGATCTCATAGGCTGAAAATAATTTGATGTCAGATGAGTGTGTAATATAAGGTCAAGGGGTATTTCATGAACTGTAAAAACTTGATGACCTCCAGTGAAAATTAGCAGAGTTGCTATAATGATGGATACCACACACACATCCATCTTTCTATGTTGTGAATTTTTTTTATCACACACATTTCTTCAAGGTTTACATATGATTCTCCTTGGATATTTGGTTTAGAAATGTGTCCCGTTGTAGGTGAGAAAATGATTTTGAGCATTATTTCCCTGTGTACAATGCAGACAGTTTGCTATCTGTGTCAGAATCTGAGTTTGGGACGGCCATTGTGATGTTCCACACACTACTTCAGTGACGCTTACATTAGGATATCATGTTATAACCCAGCAATGCTACCGTTGAAATATCATGTAAACCCAAGTTCTGTATAAAGTGTGTAACTTGTACTACATGTGATTGCTTGTTTCTAGACCTGGGGTTTGATTGAATGTTTTGTTTTGTTTACAGATTGTGTCCGCTGTACAGTACTGCCATCAGAAACACATTGTACACAGAGATTTAAAGGTATCTTCTTCTTTTTTTATGCCAGCTTCGAAATAAACTTAAATTTGCCTTGTCCCATTGTAAACTGTTATGTTTCTGCCCTGTCACATTTGGTGTTTGTAACAAATTCACCATGTGTTACATTTGTCTTCCCTTGGCTTTAAAATTATAAAACTTCATTGGTAATATGATCACCTCGTGTTGTAGTGACAAACTTGTTCAAAGATGAAATGAGCATATAAGTAATACAGGAATAATCAAATATTGTACAGTAAACCAACAAATATTCAGTATTAGAAAACTGATGGTATATATATCTAGTCTGTTATGTTAAATCTAACAGGATCAAATGAAAGGCCAAGTTTTATCGATTAGGGCTATACACAGTATAATGATCATGAAGATTACATGTGTATCACAAGATACACAACTGCAGTGATATGTGGAGATATCAACTGTCCTTTACTATACTCTGCTTTGTACAGCTTTGTTGCAGATGTAAATGCAATGCAGAAAGTCGTCTGTATATATATATATATATAAATGTGTATGGGTATGGATATTGTTTTTACATGTAGCACTGACGTCGGTAACCGTTCAACAAGCATGTTTGTTTGAGGCATGCTTATTTAGGACTGAAAAGCTCCAGGAGAATTTTGATTGCTATACATAATAAATCAATGAGAGAAAGGATACAAACTTTTTTTACTTGCTATGCAAGAAATTGAAAGAAGTGCAAATTCAGAGATATTTCATAGCTCACTAGATTGAAAAGGGAATTAACCTAATTCAGTGTAGGCAATTATTACCAAGTCATTTGGTCAGTGATCACTTAGGCCAAAAAATAATAATAGTCTGTTAAGGGTTGCATGGGCAAAAAAACAAGGGTAGGTAGGTCGTTTTTCGAATATCTGCGTTTTTTTTCATCAAAAAGTTTTGGGTCGGGGGTTAAAAGCTAGGGTCGGTCGGGAACTTTAAACAGACATCTTTCTTTTTTTGCCTTATTCAGTAAGCCAAGTGATGTCCGTGACATTTATCTAGTCACTGATCAACTTCTCTTCATGTTTTACAAATAATGTGACAATTAGTACTGCTAGTATATAGCCGCTCAATGTATAGTTTGTTGTTTATACCTGGCTAATATGACACTGGTAATGTGACAAGTAATATTCCAGAATATTATTACTTAGTAATTAATACAGCACTGGTGAAAATAATCATTATTAAAAGTCTGTCCCATTCTAGTTACTTGTTCAGAAGTGTTTCTCTGGGTTTGTTAATGTGTGCTGGTAGTGTTATAAAGGTAGAATTAAAGATTGAGGTGAATGGAGAAAACACTGGTACGATGGTGTTCACCTAACTGGTAAACATAATTTTAATCAATATAGCTGTTTTACAGCTATTCAAGGCAATCCTTTCAGGATGTTCTGGTGTAGATATAACCAATTTGTTAACAACATCTAATAAATACCTGGGGTACATGTTTGTTTGGATAATATTGTAGGCTTGCACAATCTATATTGTTTTACTGTTTCTGTTCTTCAGGCGGAAAATCTGCTTTTAGATGGAGACATGAACATCAAAATAGCAGATTTTGGTTTCAGCAACGAGTTTGTACCTGGTAACAAATTGGATACGTTTTGTGGAAGTCCGCCATATGCAGCCCCTGAACTTTTTCAAGGCAAGTATATATTACTTATCGATCAAGGTTATTCAAAATCCTCTGAAATTGTTCAGTAGTCAAGAACTTCTCTTTTTAATTAATGTCTGTAGGGAAAGAATGTTTACCTGAATAAAAAAATGGTTGTTTGGACTAACTTTTGTACATACATGTCACTCTGTCACTTTAGTGACCTCTTTTTTGGGCTTACCTATTAAAAATAAATTGGGCCTTGTTTTGTTCCACAGTAATGTAAAAGACAAACTCCAGTAATCAATATAAACCCATTTTTAGCTGAAAGGCTTCTTCAGAAAAAGTCATTAAGAATTCATGGAGTAAACAAATTAATGAAGAGACTGAAGTATTTGCTTGCGTGAGCTGGATTGCGGTTGTAGTGATAGGGATAGGGGTTTGAAGTGCAAACATTCATTACTCTTCACTGAAATGGCAGATGTAATAGGTTTCATACATGATAGTTACATTCTTAACCAGTATTCTGAAATTTACTCTTACTAGAAAAATACGGGCTATGTATTTGTTTAAATATCTATAATTGTTAGAGATTTTCTTTCTGGTATGCTCAATTATTGTATGCATTTACAAATATGAGATCTTTTAGACAATATTGTGTAGGTGTTTTAACCAAATTTGGGATTGGATTTGGAATTCAGCCTTATACCTTAGGAAATAAATAAGATACAGTTTCCTGAGTTTGTTCCAAAAATTCCCAAATTCATAAATAAAGACAAAAATGTTTTATGAAGCTTGCTGAAATAAAGCTTTGATAAACAAAATATTTCTAATCTAAGTCTTCCTTGTGGCTGAGAGGAAGGACCTTATAAGGTAAAATTTCAAGACTACTCCTGAAGTATAGTCAAAGGGAATTTTATGATTACCTGCCGTGTTGTTTGACATGTAGCATCCCTGGGCCAAGGGAATCATATCTTGTAAGACGGTATTTGAAGGTTTGGGAAAAATAGGATAAATCTTTCAAAACAACTTAGGTGAATGAATTTGAATATTATTTGGATAGATATTCTGGGGATTGATGGGATCCAATGTACCAGGGTGTGGATCTCCTTGGGGTCCGAGGAAAAGGGCCAAATAGGGGATAAATAGGGCGACTGTTAAACCAAAACTGATCCAAATGAATATCTTATGTTTATATGTTCATGACCAGTTTATGTTTTTCTAACTTAATTGCAGTGTTAGAATTGGGTGAAATATTTTCAACTTCACCAGGCCAATGGCAACCAAACTTGATAATTTAAGTTCTCAAGGTCTGAACAGGTGCTGTTATTTTTCAGGTTGATTGAAATTCAAAATCTGAAATAGCCACACTGTCCCCTTAATTTCACCAGATCTATTACCAAATGTTAATGTCATTCCCCTTACCAGTTGTTCTTACAGTTGTATTAAACTTGATAATTAAAGTTCTCAAGGTCTGAACAGTTGCTGTTATTTTTCAGGTTGATTGAAATTCAAAATCTGAAATAGCCACACTGTCCCCTTAATTTCACCAGATCTATTACCAAATGTTAATGTCATTCCCCTTACCAGTTGTTCTTACTTGAATTCTTTAGATCAATAAGAAGTCTGAGGTTGCCTCTACGTTTCAAGTTTGTGAAATCATTTAACTTTGTGTCTGCTCAAATTAAAAAAAAGAAACAGGTGATAACCCCATAGGCCTCATTGTTTTCAAATAGAATCACCAGGGTTTTTAGTTACTTTTATACATGCCTTGATTAACATACTTTATTTCCATGATTGACTTCTGTGTTGATTGACAATGAACTTCAGTGCTCTGCAGATTAATTTCTGATCCTTAATGTTGAAATGTTTTAATTCAATTTTCAGGAAAAAAGTATGATGGTCCGGAGGTGGATGTGTGGAGTTTAGGAGTAATTTTATACACACTAGTCAGTGGTTCCTTACCATTTGATGGTCAAAATTTAAAGGTAAATTAACCATTTACATAATTGAATCTGCAGCTGCTTCCTGCAATTTATAACTTAAAAGAGGCATCACATCTCAGGATCGTCTCATATTCCCCTTTTTTTTTATGAAGAGCAGATATTGATTAATAATATTGGCTTTGATTTTCAAGTGTCATGCATCATAGTATACATGTAGCTTTACAGCTTTGTATTTAAAATGGCAGAATACAGCAATATTATATCATTGATGAGTTTTATTGAGGGCTTTTTAGTTTATGTAGCATTTTAAAATACAATTACTGCAAACATACTTTTATAGTTAAACAATAATAGACTTTGTAATGGCCCTTGCCGTAAAATCTGTGGATACCCGTCCTCATATAAACTTGACTGATGTGAGGACAACAGATGTTTAACAAACAAAGTGATATAGAGGTATAAAAACACCAAGTCCTCATTTCTTATGTCTTGTTTTTGGTTTCAGGAACTGCGAGAAAGAGTGTTACGGGGAAAATACCGTATACCCTTTTATATGTCCACAGACTGTGAAAATTTGTTGAAAAAGTTTTTAGTTTTAAATCCAACCAAAAGAGCTAGTTTAGAGGTATGTATAAATTATATCATGTACTGTTTTAGTTATTTCATAAAGTTACTTCAACCCATAATTATGATTGATAAACTGACAATTTTTTCTGTTGTAGATTTAAAAGTAATGTTGGATGAAAAGTAAAAATCAATTTGTTGAAATATTACAGATTATGATGTGTTTTTGACATTTAACGTAAAGTAATATGATAAATTTGAATAACTACTGATTTGTTTCCTGTAGCAAAAATTATGACTTGAGTTTGAAATTGTTTCAATATCCTATTACTGTTAATTGACCTATTTATGAATGTTGAATATTAATATTTATAACCCTGCTGTTATTACTAGTGTATACATTTGTAATGTCCCCCTAACCAGAAAAACCTTACCAAAGATAAACAAAGCTGAAATAAGAGGCAATTTGAAGGCTTGCTCAACTCTGGTTGTACTAAATTCTTTTATGGGAAGGGGTTCTTTGCCTTCTATAGGAGTGAATTCAATTAATATTGTGTCCTTTGGAAGTGAAGACATTGAAGTCTGTCAAGTGTGTATGATGGTAAGACATGAAATTGTCTTGTACGTTTGGTGTGAATACATTTATGGTCATGTACTGTTGGAATGAATACACTAGTGGTCTTGTCCCTAGGGTATGAATATATTTAAATCTTCTCTTCTTGGTGTGAATACATCTAATATTCTTGTCTGTGAGGTTTGAATACATGTTGTAGTCTGGCCCTCAGGGTGTGAATACATTCAGTTGTCTTGTCCTTAGAGTCTACATATGTTTTAGTCTTGTCTTTATGGTATAAATACTTTAAGCGGTCTTGTCTTCAGTGAATGAACACATTTAAAAGTATCAATTGCACAATCTTTGATTTCTTCTGTGTTAGTAAAATCATCTTTAAAATGTCCATATATACATTTCACCGAAGAATTTCAAGTGTCATATATGAAATACCAAAGGTCAGTTATCATGTGGGAGGGAAAAGGTCAGATGTCATGGTTGTATGTATTCCATTTTCAACTTACGAAATAAATTATGTATTTTCAAGGTTTGTCAGTAGAAGCCAGCACTTTTCTTATATGTCAAAGTTGATTGATAAAGGAAGATCTTCATTTAGATAATTTCTTTGCTAGCTATTCAATTTGTATTTGTGAAACCCTGGGCTGTATATTAGCACCACTTATAGGTGAATCGGGTGTTGACTGATTTAACATGCTCAGCGCGAGTTTTCACTTGTGTGCCCTAATACCTGTAAGTTCACGTGCTCCTCACAACAAAGTGTGGTAGTGTTGTGGTGTGTTATTAACATACTGTCCTCTTTTTGCCTCCTTTGTCTCTGCCTTCCATCACAGAATATAATGAGGGACAAGTGGATGAATATAGGTTATGAAGATGATGATCTAAAACCCTTTAAAGAGCCTCCAGCAGATGTGCTCGACCCAATCCGGATAGGTAATGATCAGTTAGCCATGGGCCGCGCCCTGGCTCATAACTATGACACGTCTATATACGCAGATATCCTCACAAAGCCTTGTGTCTGTGTCCCTGTACTGCTGTGTGTTAAGGCTACTAAGGAGGAACACTGCTCCTTGATTGTATTATGCATCATTTGTTTTCTGGAAGGGAACACATTTATTTCTTATTTTAGATAATTTTTGGAAATATTATATTTAAAAAAAAAAAACAAAACATTTTCCAAAAGATAATACTGAAAGTAATGGCAAAGTGTTTCCCTATCCAGAAATATTTCAATGCATGAAACAAAAGCCTGCTTTTGAGTGTTGTCCATTGTACTTTTTTTGGTCTGTATAAATCCAGCATCTCCTGATTTGAAAATACCAAACTTACATTTGTGATTTACAGCGTAAATAACGACATTCGGAGAAAAGGAATTGATACAGACAAAAAAGGAATGGGCATCACTCTAAATTGATATTGTTTTGGATCATATCAAAATTGAATTGGTATCATTTATTTTGTATTGATCAGAATATTATGAAAGACCGCTGGATCAATATGGGGTATGAAGATAGAGAGTTAAAGCCCTACAGAGAGCCGCCAAAGGATCTTGTAGATCCAAAGCGGATAGGTAAATGTAACACCACCGCCCTGAATGATGATCAGCTACTAATCTCTACTCTCATCATAAGTTTGGCACTCATTGTAGATGTTTTATGTCAAAGAGCAGATTTCATCACTTCATTTAGAAAACATAGATGTGACATGTACATCTAGATGTCTTCTTACTTTCGCTGTGAAAAAAAAAAAAAGATGAAAAAAAATGTACAGCAAAAGTCGATGAAATTTTGTTTTGTTAATTCTGAGAATGCAGATATTTACTTTTAACTTGATTATTTGTTTGAATGAAATATATATATAAAAAAAAATTAAAGTAAGTTTGCATTCTCAAAATTTGTCCTGCTTATCTTCATTGTGTGTGTCCTGCGTGTACCGCTGGCATTTGATTTCAGATGGGGTAGGGCCAAGAAAAATGGTTGGCTCTGGGCAGTGTTGTTTTGCTGTGAATCTGTTTTATTACATCTTATAAAGCCTTGTTATATTATAATTAGCCACTGTTTCATGTATAGGTACACGATTATTGTCCAAAACATGTTTTATACTTAAGTACTTAACAGAAATGATTTGAAAATTTGATTGTAAATAAGATCAAGGACAAATTTAAAAAATGTTTACATAAAAAAAGTCATAATTTATGAAAATGTTCAAAAGAGGGGTAGTGAAGAAGTTGTTGATTTATATTAACTACATGAAACTGTGGCTTTTAGCGTCACAATTGACAATCTCTCATCAAGTTCACTCTATAATTTTGATAACAAACAAGTACTCTATAACAAAGATTGCTTCCTGTATTTGATGGTGTGATAACAGAACGCCTCAGATATTCAGGACATGCTTATAGAAAGATTGTAGTCAAAGGAGGAAACTGGGGATATGTCATGTCACAAAGTGCTTGTCTTGGGATGTTTCCTAACACTTGTCTGGGGTGTTTAATAATTACAGAATACTTGTCCAGGGGTGTTTTAGTAATCACAGAGTCCAGGGGTGTTTTAGTAATCACAGAGTACTTGTCCGTTTTTTTTAGTAATAACCGAATGCTTGTCTGGGGGGGTTAGTAATTACAGAATGCTTGTCGGGGTGTTTAGTAATTACAGAAAACTTGTCTGGGGGGTTTAGAAATTACAGAATACTTGTCTGTGGATTTCTTATATTAATGTTAGTAATTCTAGAATACTTCTCTGGCAATGTAGGTAATTAACTAGAGCAACTCCTGTCAGGGGATGTCTAGCAATGACTAGTACTTGTCTGGAGGGGGACTAGTTATCACAGAGTACTTGTTTGTTGATTTTGTTGCCAGATTTGGCTTTTTTAATCATTATCATACAAGTAACCTATTGACAATGTTGGATTTAGGTGGCTTAGGAATGAAAACAAATATTGGTGAGAAATTCATTTGTGTTTCTTTGGAAACTTTTGATTTTTTTTTTATATCTTCAGTATTTTCACATACCAGTACTGTGTAAACCTAAGTAATGGTCATCTATATTTTGTAAATGACCAATTGTGCATTTTTTTTTTTTCTAAACCAAAAAAATTCCCTAAGTTTTATTGCTGTGATTTCATTGCTGTTTTTCTGATGGAATTTCTGTTTCAAAAACTTGTCAGTGATTACTTATTAAAACTGTGAATTCTTTTTTCTCTCTCTATAAATACCTGAAATTAAACATGTTCTTTTCTGTTGTTTTTTTCACGTGTTGCAGAAGGTATACTTTCTCCGTTTATCTTTATATCTGATTGGTGCATGTTAAACCTGTACTTTGGTGTCCTATGTCAAGGTTAAAGTGAAATCACAAACATTCTAGTGATGCTAACTCACATATAGTCTTTGTTGATGTTGTTGACGTGAAGAAAGCTTGAGCTTTATACAACAGACAAGTGTTGTCCGTGCTTACCCCTATGTGCTATTTGTCTGTAACATTCCCAGACTGTCGTATAATGCTCCGTCCTGTTTGACTCCTTTGTCAGATGTACTGTTACTTGTCCAGAAGTAGTTCACGTGTGATCTAGGTTTGGACACTTGGTGCTACTCCTGTATTGTTCTCACAATTGCTAGCTCCAGGATGCATCTTGTCCAGCACTTGTTAACATATGTGTATATAGCAATTAGTCTCAGGAATGTAGGTCACTGATTTTTCATACTTTCAAAACTTTATTTAAACACAGGTAACAACTATTTCACATATTCTTTATAGAATTTTCGTACCAGTTTTCCATTTATTTGGTTGTCAATAAAATGTCTACTATTTGGTCTATCTGCTATGTTACAAGTTCATCGCTATCTCTCCATAAATATATAAATTCTTCTCGTGTGAGAACTATGCATGTCCAATTGTCACAGACACTACCAATGAACAGGAAGTGCTAATTGAAAAAGGAATCTGTTGATTTCAGCTTTCATTTTTTGTGTACATCACAAATGTAGTTCAAACCATAAAACATGCTATAATTTGATTTAACTTTGTTTTAATAATAGAAGCCATGTACATTTCAGTCTTTACGTTTTATGCTGTAGAGATTTAGCAGAAAAATATGATATTTCAGGATGAAATACTTTGGCATATATTTAATGCTTATACGATATTGGAAATATTGTAGTTAACAAAATTCAACTGTAACAGTATTTTATAAAGCATACGTTTCAAGATATGGGATAGAACAAGCCAAAAGTGTTTAGAATTTGTGACTGAATTTAGCCTAGTACTGTTGTATCTATGTTGTAGTATTTTTGTCATCATGTCCTCGCATAAGATATTTTTGAGTTTAAATATGTTCATGAAAGTGAAATTCAGTTCAACTCTTTTAAAAAAAGCATGTTTAAAAAGAATTGTTGTAGAAACTGAAATGTGCATGTCTCATTTTCTATACATTTCATGGAACGTGTTTGAAAAAAAGATTTTCATTTCAAATGGTGTGAAAAAACATTTTTTTTACTATTCAGTATGCTTCTTATTCAGTGACATTGTAGATATTTCATGTTACATGTACTAACCAAGCTCGGTTCAAACTGATATTAGATACTGTATTGCATAAAACTGTCACTGTGTTTTGCATCAGATTGATAGGGGTATGAAAGATAACTGTGTATTAAGTTAAAACTTGTATCATCTATTGCACCACACAAATTCAGTTACTAGAATTTACTTGTACAGTCTTGTAATTGCATTGCAAACTTTCAATCAAGCAGTGAAATTTGTATCAATAGAATAATTGGTAAAAATAAAACTGAAAGACAAACACACAAATATTTCCGGTGATATTGCATATGTTAATCGTAAAGAAAATTGTAATTTTGCATAGTGGAAATATAATATTAGATATCCTGAAGTAATCGTATTATGACATAAAATTCATGCATATTTTTGTGAGGCATCTGTTTGGGGATTCATGATGGTGTAAGTGCAGTGTGTTTTGATGTTCATCTGTACTTGGTGCCCTGGGGCTTCAGGATATTCATATTGTTGCTTACCAATGACCTTTTTATTGTTACATTGTACCATGATATTAAAAAAGAAAGTACTTCTACATTTTGAGTTGCGATGTATTTGTAAAGAATTTTATAGACATATGTTGTTATACTCCTAAAATATTATTTACTATTACAATAAAGATCATTAGTAATTGCTATTTTAAAGAAGTAATAAAAATCATTATCTGATGGTATATTTTGTCTGTCAAAACCTTTATTCTATGTGGTCTTTGCTCTTTTTTTTCAGAAATCATGGTTAACATGGGGTACAGTAGAAAAGATATTGAAGACTCCATAACGAACCAGAAGTATGATGATATCCAAGCCACATACTTACTTCTGGGGCGCCGCTCTTCTGATGTATGTACCCACACTGGTGGCCTTCTATTTAGGTTCTAACATATATGTGTATACTTTAGGTAGTAGACAAGATGAGGTCAGATGTATCTAAAATAAGTTTCCTTTGTTCAAAACAGATATTACTTTAAACTCGCTCCCTGTGGGAAAACTGGTTGATTAATGAATAACAGCAAAAAACACTTCATTGCTTACTCTTTCATTTTGCATGAATTTAATTCCAGAATAAGTGAAATAACTAATTCATTTAATTGATTGATCTATTAAAAAAGCCATGTCCTTACATATGGTTTTCAGAATCTATAAAGCAGGTAGATAGGACCACCTTTCTGTTTGTGCATAATGTTTTAGCTGTTTATACTAAGTAAATAGATATATAGGTTAACAGTGACTGAACAAGTTCTTATAGTTGCAACATATGGACTAGATGGCCAACACTACATGCAGATGACAGCAGTTGTAACGACTACATGATATAGTTAACCATCAGGTACTAAACAATGATAAGTTCTAGAGACATTAAGGCACTAATACAAATAAATGTTTGTACATTTGTGTTGTTATTATATCTTTGCAGTTGGAGGGAAGTGATCGGTCTGGGAGTAGCCAATCCTTGCGCCATTTACCATTATCATCATCTAATCGACCTCATAGTGAAAACACTGCAAACAATAACACATCTCCGAACAAGGTGACACGCAGTCAGTCTGCCACCACAAGTTCAGGCCAGGGTCGCAGACGGTACAGTCAAGGCGCAGAAAATAATGGTAGTATCCGACGTACGTGTTGTACCCACTGGTAGAGTATTATGTGTTGTGTATGTCTTGTCTCAAGGATAGGTACAAAAGTCGGGTAAGGATCACCTTTCTATTGCTCAATCAATGTTTTGCATTGATGTGCAGAGGACTTGTGAAGATGATATCAGATAATCAGGTGATATTTGGTCTTGATTTTTCGAAAATGAATATACCTATTGTATAAGAGGAGTTGTGATTGTTAGATGTTGTGATATTTTGTAGAAAATAAGCATGTACATTTTTGTTGCTTTTTAAAAAAATATATTTTTAAGTCCCATTATATATGAGAAAACCCCCATTGACCTTACATTGAGTATTTTCCAGGCATGCTTCATCATATCATACACATAACAACATTGCTTCATTGCATGCAAGTCATTTGCAGTGGTAATTTATACAAGAAATTCAATATTTCCACTGAAATATTTTCATAACTTTATTGTTGACATTTTGAAGAACTAAATGGGCTTAATACAAATAAAGTGAACAATGTGATTTTAACACCATCATATGAGATTAATATATAATAGATTTAAAAACACTAATTCTAATATCAAATCTTGCGGAAAGTAATGTGTTGATGTCAGATAATCGGAGTGAAAGAAAAAATATTGCACATCCATTTGCTTGATATCCTCTGTAAATGTTCCTCTAAATAATTCAAGTACTCCCTAGTGTAGTTAGTTTGATACATCAACTTAAGAAAGTGTAATAAAGATTTCTTCACTTGATCAGCTTTATGCATTAGGAACTCGTTAAATGAACGGTATCCCCAGTTTTGCCCTGACTTTAATGCTGTCCAGAGAGAGAGACCTCTATCAGCGGTGTGTTAGTTCTGTAACTAAAACACTGCTGCAGACTATCTCCTTTAGTGTATTTTCTGTAAATGCCTCACAAAGATGATGAAGCCATTCAGGTGAGTGGGCAGAGGTTATACTGACCGTGCCCCTCAATAGTGAGATAGTGAGTACAGACAATGTAGAAAGCATAGATTTTGATATACAGACATTGGTTAGAAGTTTGTATTTTGAAACATTGCGACTTTCCTATGGTATTGATATTATTAGTCAGTTAAAGTATGGGAATGAGCAAATTTCTGGTTTCCTTTGATCAGGCCAATTTTCTAACGCTTTGTCTATTGGAGCAAGAAATTTAACCATGTTTTAATTGTTAAATAGCTTTAATTTAAAGTAAATTTAATGTAATATGATTTCAGTTATTGTAGCTAGTGTAATGCCATATATCTAGTGTATCTAGTGTAATACAATTTAACTACAATTTAGTGTAGTTACTGTAATTCAATACAGCTACAACTTCAGGTTAGTCTGGTAGGCATGTGTTTGGTTACAGCAGAAACATAAAACATTTCGACATACTTACAGGTACGGCAGGACCAACAAGTTCTCAGTCGTCATCTCATTCACGGCGACAGAATGCGATAGACACATCAACGACGAAGGAGAACATCATATCAGGGAGAAAAACACCATCAGGGGGTTCCTCCATGGAGTCTCCCAAGGTTGGCGTAAGTATGACAATGCAGGAAGAATGGAATACTGCTACAGGACAAATTCTACTTCCTGTAGTGTTCATGACAAATTTTACTTACCATCAGCTGTGTAATAGAAGAAAAAATGAATGATTTGTTCAGGACTCAATTTACTACCGTTCAGCTGTGTAATATTTGCCTTCTTATCTGTAGAGTTCTCCTGTAACTACATTTGTAATTCAATAGCAATTTTTCCAAAAAACATTTCATCTTTCATGGAAAATATTTATTTCTTTACCATTCTAATGGATGGCATATATATTGGGAATTTTTGACTTTGTACTTTAAATAAAAAATAACTGACATAGCTTGGTCTTAAAAGCATGATGCATGATAACCAACTTCAGAATCACTAGTAATGCTTTTTGCAAGTGAACTGTAAGCTTTTTGTGAATTGTCTGGCTGCAGCAAGTACTCTATGACATGCTTTAGTAATTATATAAATATGGAAAATGAATTTCATGATGTACAGAAAATGTTTACTCATCCTCCAAGATAGCATTATAAAACAAATAATGGTTGGGTATATATATATATGCAGTTTAACGTGCCTTAACTCTGTTCTGTATATAATCTGTACATGTATATAAACTTAAACCTGAGGAGTAGGACCCACCTTAAATACCCCCACCCAAAACGCACAAGTAGGGGTATGTAGGGGTCACTACATTTTCCAAATGGCCATATCTTTCTTATGAAACTTCACTATTTGGTTATCGTGAACAGACAGTTTGTTGCAGAGCACTACCAGGTCTTTGTCCTAAAGGTCAAGGTCAGGGCAAGGGGTAAAGGGTCAGACAATTATTATGCTTTTGTGGATCGTAATTTATAGATAGTTGAATCTTATTTATGAAACTTAGCATATAGTGATTTGTCCAGACTTATATGATATCCTTTGTCATTGTATGGTTACACTTGAAACCTGTCCCCACCTTTCTCTGCAATCGGGAACCTGGCCAGATTTTCACTCCACTTGGTCACGGTCAATGACGAATGGCAGTGAAGGAGAAGGCCATTTAAGGTTCAGGGGCCATCCTATGTATTGTCAGATGTTAAGTTTTGAAGTGTTCTGAATGACAAAGGGAGCATTGGGTTTGCATGTTTTTGATATTGGCCCAGTTAGTCTTTGATATTGTTGGGAGCAGTAATCCCTTGGTATTACCAATATTCCAGAAGTTAATTGATAAAAAACAATTATAGTAAGTATAACAGGTGTATGCACACATCATGTATAAAATTAAATAAGATGTGTAACATGAAAGAAGAAATCTCATGTACAGGTATAACATTTTCAAAAATGTGATGATCTATATAAACCAAATGGAAATGTTCTTTGATTTGCATGCTGCATGTGTCACTGTTACAATAAAAACTTTAAAGTGTTTCTGTATGTTAATAAACACACTTGCTAACTAACCAATTTGCATGTGTTGACAGCCATCTTTGCTATTGGAGATACATGCATTTCTAATACAATGGAGGATTTATATAGATGGAATAAGAAAGCGACATGTAATTTATACAGCATATTCAGATGATGAAGTGTTGACACATTTTAAATGTCAATTAAGACAATATTATAAATGAATTCCTGATGGTATTGTGAATCTGTAAACTGTGGTGTAACACTCTCTATTTATAAGCTATATTTCTGAAGAGCTTTTTAATTTGTCAAAAATTCAACAAAAAAACATGAAGGGAAAAGAACTTTTTGTGATGATTTTACAAACGAAGCTAATTGTAGTTTTATTGCAACAATGGAGCTGAACATGTCATTGATGCTGCTAATTCTAACCCACACTTAACATTTTAGACACAATGCTTGATTTGAATTTTATCATTTTCAGAGGAGTGCAATTACCCGAGACAGTTACAAGGGTCCAAAGGTGAAGATAACTATGTATCTCGCGATTCTAATCACATCTCTATTTCTATATTCTGTAGAAACTGTCTTTAAAAAAAAATCCTGTATAGAACTTTCTTTGTGAGAAACTGTTTTTGGCATAGTTTTCTTCATTGATCCGTATTTAGTATATTTACTAACTACATTTTTGCTCTTCGCAATTCCGGTTATTTGATCCTTAAAACAATTTATATAGACTAGTTAATATTCAATGATGAACACTGTAGATCTGAAACATTAAGTGATTGAAATTTCATCCAAATTAGATAATTACTCCATCGTTGATATTTGATACCATAAATTCAGCCATATATTGCCACCATTTGTCAAAGAGGACTTTTAGTGTTATAAGGAGGTTTGGTGATCTTTTGAGGGAGTGTTGAGGAATTATATAACGGAAATGGGAACAGACAGGGGTACAATGTCAAGGTTCTCTAGTTATTGTAATGTTATGTAGACATGACCTCACAGACTTCACTGAAGTTCTCATGTCTACACACTTACTTTGCCTTCTGTTTTGTAACATGTGTGAAGTTTTTCTGATATAGAAAACATTGTAATAGAGAATGGGATAAGTTATGTTTATTGTGTAAGTTAATGTTTAGAGAATAAAATGAAAATTAGGTATGTCTTGATACATGTAGGATAGTCTGTGGGATCTTTGTAATTAGCATGGAATGAGATTGATATTTAGATGTCTTTGGCATGGGTAAGCTTTCAAGTGGTAATTTCCCAATATGTTGAATAGATCCTTTTCCTAATTTAGGTTGCATGTATATTGCATAGAACTTATTAGTTAACCTGGTAGCCCTAGATTTAACTTCTTTCTCACGTGAAGCTTTAATACTTTTCTGTTTCTTAAATGAATCAAACAATATTAACAATTCTTAACATTACAAATTTATATTCAATCCAAAAAGGTCTGTTACCAATAATAATGCCATTCAAGTATCCGTTTGAATTATGTTTATATAAACTTTAAGGAATGTTCCATAGTTTGAAATTCGAATTTGAAATAACAAGTACTAAGGACCACCAGGCTGTATTGTGGCATCATGAAATGGGACATTTCCCAACAGCATAACGCCAGATCTTCACATTTGAGGACCATGTGGAAGATTAGCCCATGGCTGAACATGTATTTATCCCCAATAAAGTATTTACTATTATTATTATTATTATAGCAATTATTATTATTATTATTATTATAGCATACACCAAACTGCTAAATTGGGTAAAACATATACCCCAAACCCTGAGAGAGCATATATATCAAGCTGCTTAATTGGGGTATTTACTGTAAAACATAAACCCCAAACCCTGAGAGAGCATATACATCAAACTGCTTAATTGGGGGTATTAACTGTAAAACATAAACCCAAAAATCTTTGACAGCATCCACAAAATTGCTTTATTTATGTATTTGTTGTAAGCATATACACCTAATCCTTTGATATTACACCAAACTGCTTTATTAAATTTTTCATTTCTGTAAGTATATACACATTATCCTTAGGAAGCATACACCAAACTGCTTAAATGCTGCTGCAATCATTGAAGTACTTCCTGACAAGGAATTTCAAATGAGCTGATGAATTGGGTAATAACATCTGTGTATATGTGTGCAAAATTGAAATCTTAGAACAGAATATTGATCATCCATTAGGATTGTCCTGCATCAGCAATGCAGGTGCCTGATAGCAATAACAGAGTCCATCCATCCACATTTTTATTTCTGAAAATAATCATAGAATGCAGAGCGATAAAAGTTTTTTTGGTACTGATCGGTTATTTGTAGATTAGCATTAGGTAATTAAAAAGTTCTAAGGTCAAATAGGCCCCTTACTAAAATTAGAATAGGGAAACCCTATTTCAAAATACCTTTAGTGTCCTTTTTGATCTGCCATTTTCAATTTGTTGGGAAATGGTGTTTTATAGATACCCTACATCGACAACATATTACCAGGATCACATATTTCAAAATGGCTAACAGTCGGAGTCCCTTACTGTTAAAATGGATAACATAATGTCAGAACAACATTATATGGCCCTTTCTAAACTGGGATTGTTCACTGTGATTCTAAATATTATTTGGTGGATGTCCAACATAAACATTGTGATTTTATTCATACTTGACAGTAAATGGTGCATATATTTGTGTATGGCCTTACTATCCATATTCAAAAATTCAAAAAGGTTAGTGTGACTATTGAGTAGCAGTACTTTGAATATATATAGCTGGGCACATGGTGACCTATCGGTGTTTGAGTTTAACTTCTTTCTTTTCGTTTTGTTTTGTATATTAATTTTCATGTTATTGTTCATGATTTGATTTTTGCATGACATGCTTTAAATCTAAACACCATTGTAACGTGTGTATTCAACAAATTGAAGTTTTCTTCATCTTTCAAATAGTTTCTCTGTAAAACAGATTATTTTATGCATTTGTTTTTCCTTCACAGATAAGTTCTTCCACTCCAACACGGGCAACCATGCCAAAGAAACTCAGTGGATCATCTTCTTCATCAACACCCAAGAACAGTGTCATCAGCAGCATTCCGCGTCGTACAGGCCGCAGTGAAACCTTTAGTCCAGGCGATGCTCGTGTTCAGACCCCTGCTGAGAAAACCCGCACTACCAATGGTCAGGATGTCAGGAGGTATGCATAGAGGTGTCCAAATGTTGGAATAGCATACTGGGAAACCCAAAAAGGAATACCCCTAGAAGAAATGTTTATGGATAGCCATAGAAGGGGAACAAACAAAAATGTCCCTTATAGTGATAGCAGTCAAGTGGGGGACCATACACAAATATTGGTTAAGGGCTCGAGTACCGTACAGGGATAAACCTGAAGGGGAAGGGGACATTTTTGTTTGGTGCCTATGGATCATGCTTGGATACAAAACATGTGTTACTAATATAAGTGTTGATTTTAATTTCCAGCTGACGATAAGTATACGTTATGGGATACTATGTGAGATAACTCCTTCCCACACATAGGTGATCTCCAGTACAGGAAATATACTTTTCTTAATCCTGAATAGGAAGTGCTAAAATATCTATTGTTCGAGTTCAAAATGGTCAATTTCTTGACAGTTGACGTTCGTCAAAATGTAGTTGTTCCATGCTTTGTTTTACGCTCTCCAAATATTTTCATGGTTAATTTGAATGTTACCGAGAAAATATACTCTACTGTTGCATTTGTACTGTCTATGTCAATCGATATGTAGGCATAAGGAATGTGGAAGTTTGATTTGTAGAATTTCCATATGTCCATACCTACATAGAGTAAACAGTGTTAGTAATGTACACAAGTTGTGTATTATTAGGAGTCTAGTAGTATCTGTCTTCTGTGTGGGAAATTGGTGTTCTGTTATGTCTTTACTCTTCTTATCCCAAGTATCTTGTTCTTGTGTATACCTTGCAACAGGCTGTTGGTATTGGAAGGTGTTTGATATAAAACCATCTTGATCTGTATAGAAAATGCATAACTTCCGGGTGTGTGTGAAAACTGGGAGTGGTTTAAATAATTACTAATAGGGCAGTATATCTATGTAGCATGCAAATTAATCCCTCTATATTTTCTTTGTAATCTCCATTAAAATAATGGATAACATGTATCTGTTTTCTCCATGTAGTCAACCTACAGAACCTAGGTAAATACTCAAAAGTTTTAGATGTCTTGTGCCTGACACATGTAGACCAAATGAATGCTCAGCTATCTGTTTTCATTTAAAAAATTGTATTATCTGATTTTTAGTTGAATGTTTGGCTATGTTCTCAAATATACACATGCATTCTTTGAGTGAATGATTTTTTTCAGCTTTATCAAAAGTTATCTTTGATTTTCTTTTGCAAACTTTTATGAAGTAATCCACGCAGATTTATTTCTATTGCACTTTTTTTGTGGTAGACCGCAGCAAGTATTTTATAAGTAGTGGAAATAGGAATGTGTAGAGATACCATAGAACTAGTAACAGGGGCGGAGAAAACAGACAGGAAAACTATGTGTGTTTGTAAAGAGAGGTTGTTACAATACAGTAACAGGGGCAGAGAATACAGTCTGGGACATTGAATGTAATTGTAGAGGCTGTTACAATACAAGAATACAGTCTGGGACATGGGATGTGTTTGCAGAGAGAGGCTGTTACAATACAAGAATGCAGTCTGGGACATGGAATGTGTTTGTAAAGAGAGGCTGTTACAATACAAGAATACGGTCTGGGACATGGAATGTGTCTGTAGAGAGAGGCTGTTACAATACAAGAATGCAGTCTGGGACATGGAATGTGTTTGTAAAGAGAGGCTGTTACAATACAAGAATACATTCTGGGACATGGAATGTGTTTGTAGAGTGAGGCTGTTACAATACAAGAATACAGTCGGGGGCATTGAATGTGTTTGTAGAGAGAGGTTGTTACAATACAAGAATACAGTCTTGGACATTGAATGTGTTTGTAGGGGCTGTTACAATACAGTAACAAGGCCCGAGAATACATTCTGGATTTGTACAGCTTGTAGGGGCTGTTACAATACAGTAACAGGGGCAGGGAATACAGTCTGGATTTGTACAGTTTCTAGAGGCTGTTACAGTACAGTAACAAGAGCGGAGAATACAGTCTGGATTTGTACTGTTTGTAGGGGCTGTTACTATACAGTAACAAGGGCCGAGAATACATTCTGGATTTGTACAGTTTGTAGGGGCTGTTACAATACAGTAACAGGGGCAGGGAATACAGTCTGGATTTGTACAGTTTCTAGAGGCTGTTACAGTACAGTAACAAGAGCGGAGAATACAGTCTGGATTTGTACTGTTTGTAGGGGCTGTTACTATACAGTAACAAGGGCCGAGAATACATTCTGGATTTGGACAGTTTGTAGGGGCTGTTACAATACAGTTACAAGGGCGGAGAATACAGTCTGGATTTGTACAGTTTATAGAGGAATACAGTCTGGGACATTGAATGTAATTGTAGAGGCTGTTACAATACAAGAATACAGAATGGGACATGGAATGTGTTTGTAGAGGGAGGCTGTTACAATACAAGAATACAGTCTAGGACATGGAATGTGTTTGTAGAGAGAGGGTGTTACAATACAGTAACAGGGGCAGAGAATACAGTCTGGGACATTGAATGTAATTGTAGAGGCTGTTAAAATACAAGAATACAGTATGGGACATTGAATGTGTTTGTAGAGAGAGGCTGTTACGATACAAGAATACAGTCTGGGACATGGAGTGTGTTTGTAGAGAGAGGCTGTTACAAAACAAGAATACAGTCTGGGACATGGAATGGGTTTGTAGAGAGAGGCTGTTACAATACTAGAATACAGTCTGGGACATTGAATGTGATTGTAGAGAGAGGCTGTTACAATACAACAATACAGTATGGGACATGGAATGTGTTTGTAGAGAGGGGCTGTTACAATACAAGAATACAGTCTTGGACATTGAATGTGTTTGTAGGGGCTGTTACAATACAGTAACAGGGGCAGGGAATACAGTCTGGATTTGTACAGTTTCTAGAGGCTGTTACAGTACAGTAACAAGAGCGGAGAATACAGTCTGGATTTGTACAGTTTGTAGGCGCTGTTACAATACAGTAACAAGAGCGGAGAATACAGTCTGGATTTGTACTGTTTGTAGGGGCTGTTACTATACAGTAACAAGGGCCGAGAATACATTCTGGATTTGGACAGTTTGTAGGGGCTGTTACAATACAGTAACAAGTGCCGAGAATACATTCTGGATTTGTACAGCTTGTAGGGGCTGTTACAATACAGTAACAAGAGCGGAGAATACAGTCTGGATTTGTACTGTTTGTAGGGGCTGTTACAATACAGTAACAAGGGCCGAGAATACATTCTGGATTTGTACAGTTTGTAGGGGCTGTTACAATACAGTAACAAGGGCGGAGAATACAGTCTGGATTTGTACAGTTTATAGAGGCTGTTACAATACAGTAACAGGGGCAGATAATACAGTCTGGATTTGTACAGTTTATAGAGGCTCTTACAATACAGTAACAAGGGCTGAGAATACAGTCTGGATTTGTACAGTTTATAGAGGCTGTTACAATACAGCAACGGGGGCAGAGAATACAGTCTGGATTTGTACAGTTTGTAGGGGCTGTTACAATACAGCAACAAGGCGGAGAATACAGTCTGGATTTGTACAGTTTGTAAGGGCTGTTACAATTCAGTAACAAGGGCAGAGAATACAGTCTGGATTTGTACGGTTTGTAGGGGCTGTTACAATACAGTAACAGGGGCAGATAATACAGTCTGGATTTGTACAGGTTATAGAGGCTCTTACAATACAGTAACAAGGGCTGAGAATACAGTCTGGATTTGTACAGTTTGTAAGGGCTGTTACAATACAGTAACAAGGGCGGAGAATACAGTCTGGATTTGAACAGTTTGTAGGGGCTGTTACAATACAGTAACAAGGCGGAGAATACAGTCTGGATTTGTACAGTTTCTAGAGGCTGTTACAATACAGTAACAAGGGCAGAGAATACAGTCTGGGTTTGAACAGTTTGTAGAGGCTATAAAACTAGGAACAGGTAGAGAATACAGACAGGGGCATCAAATGTGTTTGTAGATATAGGCTAAAGGAACAGGGACTGGGTACAGTTGGGAACAATAAAAGTTGGGCTGCAGATAAGAGTTCAGCCTATAAGATTTTGTATGCATGTATATATAATTTTATGCTTGTGCACCAACACTAGGCAACATGCTGGAGGACAATGCCAGTTGTGTTTAAGCTGTGTTACTGCAGGAATATCAATGTAGCTGATGTCTTGGCTATTACTTTTTTAATCTTCTCCTTTCCGCCCCTGTTTAATCAGTATAAGTTTTGTTAGATGTGTTATATATTACTAGCTGTTCAGATAGAACAAGTCCTGCGACAGATTTGTTCTTTAAATTGTAATATAGGATAATTAGTCTTTTAGATGAACTAGGTACTGTGTATGTGGAATGCTCTGCTGGAACATCTGTTGTATATACTTTTCTATGATGTTGAATGTTGAGACTTACTCCGCTGTGTGTGCATGTTGTTTCAGCCCTATGACCAATTCTACAACCCCTTCATCATCAGAAGTACCTTCAGTCAGACCCAAAGGGCATGGCCATGTCAAATCTGCAAGTTTAAGTCAGTCTCAAACTTCGCGGGTTACAGACTTGCCTCCCTTAGATGGTGAATTTCGGCCAACGTGAGTACACAGAGAAAAAACAGTTTCTTCGCGATCGCTTCACTGCTTTTTTCTGTGCAGGAAATTATCTCGTGGTATACTGTCTTTGAAAATTTGAAACAGCAAGAAAAAAAGGCTTTTAAAACAAAAAGATCTGAAACATTTAAATTTGGAGAAATGTATCTTGTCTGCTACTAATGCAGATAACTAAGGATAAGAAACACATGCACGTTCTTTATGAAAGGGGGCCTGTAACTAATATCTCTCTAGATGTGTGTAACTATTGTCTTTCCTCATTATTATATATCTTGTATTTCTCTGTACTTCTGTTGAACTAATTTGATCTTCTATATGTATTCTGCTCAATTTCAAATTTTCAATTTTTACGCATTTACATGTTTAGTTGGGTTTGGTACATATTTTTGCTTTGAGCCAGAAGCTAAGATGTGATTGTATTGGCTTTTTACTAACTGACTAAGTGAACATTATGATAAAATCCATGTGAAATAGTTGGATGTCTGCTTTCTATGCTGCATCAGTTATAAAATTGAAGCAAAAATATTGCTTTATCTTCTCTTAAGAAAATCTCCCTGTTTTATTACTCTTGGTGAATCACCACAAAGGACTTAAAGGATGAATGAATAATTGAGGGTTATGATTGATTTGAAATTTAATATTGAAATGATTGAGAAATTTAATTGGCTACAGATACAATAAATACAGTTATGAAAAATGATTCCAAAATTGATTTCCATAGAATTTCGATACCTTTGAACATTACTATTTGAATAACTATTTCTCATTACTATTCGAATAACTATTTTCTTAAAACATAATAATCATCCTTTTGAATTATTTCAGCTTTAGGATTAGAAAATTAGTATGCTGTGTTTATAAAATTCATATGTTGGTATTGGGATAGAAATATATTTTCCTGCTTCTAAAAAAATGTTTGCTTTGATGCAGGAATCACTTGTATAAACTCTGTCTTTCAAGATAACATTTCAATCAAGCGTTAAAAAGGGAGAGAATAAAGGACAATATATTTGAAATATTTTGATTGACTGGAAGCTATGAATCCCCAAAAGGGATACATTTGTATGTGTGTTTCCATGTCTCTATCCACAGAACTGCTCCAGGTAAAACCTCCACTGTGCCTGTCTCCCCCGCTGCTCCTAAAAGCTCCCTTTATCGTAACACAGCCAGTAGGAATACATTCCATGGTGGGCCTATTCGGGACAGACGGCAGCGTCAATACAATGGGCCTGACGGTATTCCGTCTCACTCTCAGGATACCTCTGCCATGGGCCAGGCAGGCCGCATGTCTTTCTTAAATAAGCTTACATCAAAATTTAGCAGAAGGTAAGTTTTTCTCCTTGGGCTGTTGTTTTATGCAACATATGTTTTTTTTTGGGGTCAAATTCAATGTTTTTTTCTGATGAGTTTAAAAATATTTATTACTGATTTCTTGAAATGTTACAGATTATAAAGCAAAAAGAGATGTTCTTCTCGCATACTTGTATCTTTTTTCAATGTTAAAATGTGACTAAATGCCTATGTTAAGGCAGTTTGAGTTATCTCCCCTACTGTATGTGGTGCTGTACATCTTTGTGATGAGTGATATGTCATGTTTTGCTTGATTGCGTGTACTATTAGCAGGAAGTTGCATGATCACATTGCTATGCAAGTCACATGTGTAACTATTTCTAACAACAAATAGAGTATAAATGTCATTGCCTGTTACAGATGATTGGATACCTTTACAGACATGTGATATCTCCTAATATTACTGGCTTCTCGGGATTCTTTCAGTTTCCCGATTGATCCAGATTTTGATTTTCCTTAAATTATTCTTATTTTCTTTTGTTTTTTAGAGATTTCATACCAGAAAACAATAGTCAGGGTCGGGACTTGAAAAAAAGGTATTTCAGATCAACTGAATCTCACATTATGTTTTACTTGGGAAATACTACACATTATTTATAACACTGAAAGTAACTTGCACAAAGATGAAACCTTATTTTTGATTGCACTCAGGTAAGATAGAACTGAAGATCTAATCAATTTTTTGTACAGTTGATACAGGTCGCCTCCAGCTACTGTACAACAGCAGGCGTGATTTGAGCTGCAGAGTTTACGAAAAATAAATATGAATGAGTTTTAACCTGGTTGAGGTGTGAAAAGAGTTGTAAAGCTCAGAGTTGTACAGGAGATATCACATGTATGTACATGGTAATGAAATAGTAATTTGTTCAATGCATACATGTATCTTTTGAAAATAAGTCAAAATTTTATGAAATTGATTGTCCGTAATTATGAAAGAACACATTAACATTTCAGATGTGTATGTCTTTATATAATATTATATGGTTTAAGATTTATTTGTGCAAGATATTTTAAAACTTAATAATTTTAACGAGAGAGTGATTCCTGCTTCTGTGTGATTCCTGCGCGCCCCCTTGGGCTGCCCATATTTACCTGTAACCTCGGCTGTCTCTATGGCTCCTACTGTCTTGTGATTCCTTTTCAGGTGTAGCGCATTGTTGTGTCATTGAAATGTTTGATCCTGTAGTGAAGCTTTAGGAGTAGTATTAATTCCTAGGGACAGTGGAATATCTTGTGTGCAGCGAATGACGGACAAAAATGTGGTGTCTTAGGAAAATAACTGTAAGGATAGAGGTGTCATAAGCACAATGCTGTTAATAGCAAAGAGAGCAGATAATGTAGGAAATTACAGAAACCTTTCAAATGTTAACTTATACCAGTATTTATACAATAACTTTTAAGACAGTCAGTTGGATTCCCTTTTAATGAATAATATACTTCATACTTGAACCATTTCTGAAAGTATGGCAAAGATGTGATTCAGAGGGTAACAGTGGCGCTCTTTGTGGCCATTACTGATGACATTCCACTGACACTAGGCATTAACACTTGTTATTAGTTGCCATGTATTTAGTTATCAACTGTTTTACTTTATGTTGAGATGTATATTATATAACTGAAATATCTTGTATCTTCAACAAGCTACAGTAAAGTGTAAATTACAAACAAAGGGCTGACGACCCGTTCTAACTCTAAATGAAATCCTAAATCTGCGTTGTAGAACTTTTCATAACTTTATGTGGATCTATTTATTTGTAGCTGTTTACAGCTTCTGTTTGAGTGAATTCCTCTAGTTTTAGCATGGTTAAACCCCTAGAGTTGATCCAAAGGGTCACTTAATTGACTCTAAAAATTTCATCCTAGGTATAACACTTCATTGTCTCCATCTGAATCATCCCAACTGTCCCGATTGCAAGGGTAAGTTTTACACAAGGTTTTTGTTGAAAGATAAAAATCTCGGTATGTGGTTAGTTGAATAAAAAAAAAAGTGGAAGTAAAGGCTTTATACATTGGTAAAGGCATTGATTGATGTATGTACATACATGTATGTGAGACGGTAATTTTCATTTTACTGTAGTTAGATAAGCCTTTATCAATTAACATGGTTAATGATCTCTTACTCTTCTATATATTACCACTATTAATATACATCACTGATAACATGGTTGTATGTAGATTTTGTTATATCCATGTTGAGGGGAACATTAAAACTAACTTTTCCCTTTTCATGCTGGCTGGCTGCCCTTCTTTACACCCGAGTTAGTGATTGTTGTAGTGAACTTGTCTGGCAAATCAGACTGGTGTTACCGGTACATGTATAAACCTGATACTTTTGAATGGCGGCTCCTGACATTTGTGAGTAAACACGATAAAAGGTCTCAAGCCAGACTGGACGTTACGTTTACGGTGGACCTGGTAATAGCGAACACTGCATGAGTGTAACGGAGGTGTACATCTCAAAAAACCCAAATAAGAACAATCTTCATTCGAAATTGAAACATTAGTGATTCTTCAAAAATACATGTTCAAATGATATATGAATTTCTGTATAATCCATGGTGAATATCTATATCTAAAAGTTTTTTAACACATGTGTTTCGTAATGCAGGTGTCTAGTTAATCTGTTATATACTCTTTTACACTCTGTTCAGTCAACAGTTACACAAGTGTCAAACAGTGACATTCAAACCCTAGCAGTCAGCACTGAAGTTCTAATATTTTGCATGAATACTGTATAGTTTGTGAACTGCTAGTCGTACTGGTAAAGGTGATTGGGGTATAATGGGTAATCTAGTACACACTTGCTTAGTTGAGTTTCTGTCACCTCGCTCTTTTTTCGTTATGTATCTCCATTTTATTAACCACAAGTTATTTGTGTAACCTGCTCACTTAACGCATGTTGTCCTCAGTTAAACATGCATGATTGCTTTGTAAGAGAAAATGATAATGGTTTACCGTTACACAAATGAATGGCTGTATTATAAACATGGAGTGGTTGGCAGTAGCATGTGCCATATTTACCTTAATTGGTTGGCTTATTCTCCTACCTGGAAAGTTGCCATATTCCCTGCTCAAATACTTTGTAAAGATGTACCTAACATTAACATCAGTGTTGGCAAAATAAAATATTCCAATTTAAATTTTGCTGATAAATTGAGGTTATATGGAACTTTTCTGTTATTTTCTAAGAAGGGGATGGAGACATTCCTTACAGCAGTTATTATTGTCACTATTAACCTACCACTACTTACGTAGACCCTAAATGATCAGGACATAACGCGGTTTGTGAATTACACTGAAAGATGATGGAATTATTTCCTGAAGTTGTCTACAATGTCGGGATTTAAGTAAGTAGAAAAATACACTGTCTACATTATGAGGGTTTATGTAAAATCACAAGCATGACTGACTGCTATCACTAGGACCACCGTAAACTTCTGACTACTAATACAGACAAATCTGCAGCTCTGTGTCAGGAGGGACAGCCATTAATATGTTTTCCAACTTGATTTTAATTTTCAGCAAATTGTTCCGCAGGTCAGTCAACGAGGGTCGTGAAGGTGACCCCATCAAGCCACGGTCGCTTCGCTTCACGTGGAGCATGAAAACGACCAGTTCAATGGATCCCAACGAGATGATGAAGGAGATTCGTAAAGTATTAGATGCTAACAACTGTGACTATGAACAAAGGGAGAAGTTCCTCCTGTTGTGTGTCCATGGCGACCCCAACACAGATAGCCTAGTGCAATGGGAGATGGAGGTTTGTAAATTGCCAAGACTCTCCTTGAATGGAGTTCGTTTCAAACGAATTTCAGGAACTTCCATAGGATTTAAAAACATTGCATCTAAAATTGCAAATGAGTTGAAACTTTGATGTAGGGCCCAGTGCTGCAAGAACGGACAAGTAGGTTATCCTGGAATTGAGGCAGGTTGTGTGGTATCCTTGTTAACCTGAAGGGTTACCTGGAGGTTCACCTACAGGAGCAACATTGCTGTAGTGGGAAGGTGTCTGGTGCTGGGCCCGTACCATACTTCAAGTCTCAGAAGGATAACTCAAGATGCAGTAACCTCCTCCTATTCAATCACATGTAACATTACCCCCTCTCCCCACATGTATAATTTTTGTACAATGTTAATATTGTAAAAAGGTCACTGTAATATAGCTAAATTAGACACCCAAAGGCGAGACCAGGGTTTGAAATTGTACACATGTATGTAAAGAGAAAGAGTATATCATTTGATGAATGTGCTTTAGTGTATTAAATGCAAACTAAGTGATGAATGTTGTTACAAGTGCATTTCTCCTTCTGCTAGTCTAAATGAATTAGCAGTCCTAATCTCTCTCTTCCCCTCTCTCCCCCATTAACTTAATTTTCTGTACTGTCTCTTGCTCTGTATATCTTCCACAGTGCAATCATATTATTCTGGTAGTAGGAGAAGATTGTGTTAGAGCAGGCACTTGTTCAACGATCCGACCTGTTAAAGAATTACAGACAGTGACAGATGGTGAGCTGAGTTGTCGTCGTTCATTCATAGGTGTTGTTCAGAGGTTTGGATTTCGCTGTTTCATTATATTCTTTATCAAGTGATATGAACTGTATTGTTTGATGAAATAATTGGTTCAGTGTGTAATGTTATAACAGAAAGCCAAATCACTGAACATTACCTATGTAAGTAGTTTTCCTCTTCGACTGTGATACTATAAACATGCAAAAATCTGCCTGTTTATAAACATCTAAATATTTTGCTCTGTGAATGATGGCAACTCAGTGGGCCGAGCATTGAACAATGTTAAAGCTATGGGCATTTGATAGGTATAAATTATTTTATTAATTGTATTCCAACTTATGTAGAAATAAATATGTTAAGAATTGATAGTTCATTCAGTAAACTATTGAATGTTCTGTAAAACTGGAGATTGAAGTTGTGATTGATTTAATTCAACAACCACTGATTTAAAAGGGAATTTAAATTACCCTTTCACTGAAAGTACGGTAAAAACCTCTATATAATGCCACTAGTTGTCCAACAAAATTTGAATCATACAAAGTGATTTGACTATATTAATGGAAATTTGAAAAGGAACTGCAAAGGGAGAATGAAAGGGGGAACTTGAAAATTTTCTTTGTGGTAACCCTTAGTGTGGTGGCAACGAAAGGAATGGCGTTATAAGTAGGTTTTACTGCTGTACTGTATATCTTCATACTTCGAGATAAAGATATCAAATTGATGCACCCTCTCCCAACTGGATTTACCTAGCTTTTTTAATCACTCACAATTTGATAACAAATTACACCATGCATTGATTTTGTTTGTCTGTAGACCTACAGTGCTTTTCCTTATATGAGCACCACCTCACTTTTATCACATTTGTTATTATTCAGTTTAATTGTTATGCCTGGGTTGGGAGGAGACTGTGTCCACTGACCGGGGATTTCCCTTGCGAGTTTGTGAAGTGTAATGAGCGAGTGTGGAAGGAAAAGACACGTGAATTGGTTTTGTCTGTGAAGTAAACACAATTCTCTTTTGACACTCGCCTGTGTTATTAAATCATGTATCAGTTACTGTACTAACACTCCCCAACCATCACAAGGAAAGTAGACTCAATAAAATAAATAATTAGAGGAATAATTCTAACCAGCATAGATAAGAATCTCTGGTAGTATTCTAGAAAAGTTTAGATGGGCAAGTTTATAATGGTTTTAAGACAGACTAGTAGTGGTCTAGGAAGATTCAGATGGCAGGTTTGTGATGGGGTTGTAAAATTCAGAAATGAAGTACATGAAATCACATTTGGATAAAAAGTTTTGGGCTGAAACAAAAGTATTTAAGAGAACATGGGCTGAACTTGGTAAACTTGGTAAACATACTGAGGTATTATATTTACTAGTGTTCTTTGTTATCGAACCGTTCTGTTTTGCTGAGTAGTCATGATATTTTATTGCTTTCAAATGTAGTCTGTTCTACAGGACAGCAGAATATGCAAGTTATACACATGTTACCGTATGATCTCAGATATCACATCATATATCCTGCCTTCGTCACTAGCTTCCATTGATTCCCGAGACCTTGGATATGTCTGCTGACGAGTACATGCATTAATCTGTCATTAAGTCATTCTCATGAATTTTACTGGGTACGCAAGTTTGGAGTCGACGACGGGATTGTGTTGAATGTGAATCATGCTTGTTGTTGATCAACTTGCTGCTTGTCCATACAGACACAATGTCTTGTTCTATTGGTTTTTGTCATCAAATCATTTTCCTCAAAGTAGTGTCCTCTGTCTTGCATATAAACTAAAAGCTCGGCAGGAATTTTCTTATTTCATTGAAGTGCAACACTAGTACGACAACTGGATGAATTTAGCTTGTGTGGTATTCTGATTTAGTCACCAAATGTAGTGTTGGAATGGCTTATGCTTTGGCAATGGATCTAGCAGCGAGCAGAATCATACTTTACAAACACTGCAGGTGATGTGCTGGTATTCACAAGGTTAGAAGGATTTGGACAAGTTTTGATTGAAATGGCTGATTGTGTTGCTGATCATCTAATACTAACATTCCTATCATGTTGATTTGTCCTCTGTGACAATGTATAGATAGCTTTCCTTCATATCAAGTTTTGAAGAACTGAGAAACATCAAATTGAAAAAAAAGATATTTTCCTTTTCGCAAGTTTCAGCTGTTTCGCTCTTACCACAATATCAAATTAAGATGCCTGCTTAGTTGAGAGAGGGATGAGGGCAGATGCTGCCTAGTAAGGGGTGGGGTATGCTGGTGGAGAAAGTGTTCACACACTTCAATATGGCCATAACTGTGAAAGGGCAAGTCAAAGCTTGAGAGGGAGGAACAGCGAGCTTGTGACCCTGTCGGCAGTAACCCACTGACGGTGAAGCAGTAACGGTGTGACTACGATGTCATGGTTCAGTGGTAGCACAGTGCCACAAATGCATAATAGTGCAACTCTTTGATTTTATTTATTAATATGATTTAAGGGTATTTTGTATGTTATATTTTTTTAACATTATCTAATAATAAAATACGGAACTACAATAATTATGCTATATATGATAAATATATATAGGAAAAGGTCAATAATCTATTCATAAGTGACCTGCCTTTAACTGGAGTGTAAAAACAACTGATTTTACATGCATACCTATTTATTACTGCTAGCAATGTAGTCAAGAGTATGTTGTTAGTAGCCTATGGGTGACAAGTCATTCTGCTTGAAGAGTTACGATCAGTTAGGACAAAACCTATTTTATGTTTGATTTTAAATGTTTCGTCTAGTGTTCTGTTGAGCCTGTGAGGTTATTTTGTAAAGATATTTTATTCAACCTAACTAATGTCACAACTGATCTGAAAATGAAAAATAGACTCGCATCTAAAATGTTGTAACAAGAAATTTTATGTGAAATTTTTCGAAGAGATCAAAGATATTCATGAAATAGAAAATCATTGGGAGACCAGTTAACTGGATAAAGTGCTGTGGATGATATAACACTTTAGTAATCATGTTATTGAAGGCTGTAGCACACTTATAATCACGGATGAGTAAACTCATTTGATTTATTTTACTAGGATAAAAAAAAAACTGTTGAGATTTGACATAGTATATTTGTTGACTGGCAGACTGTTTTTCTCTCGACCAGGTATCCAGTGTCGGTGTTCATTATGTGCCAATGTTTGTATATTGCACGCTGTAGATTACTTGTATTTCGTGTGATATTTATTTCCACACAAGTTCCATGTTATGATTTTATCACAAATTCCAGTATAACATTAGTTATCATTCATGCCGGGTGAAACAAGTTGATTTCTTTGTGAACCGATAGTAAAACGCCAGCTTGTGAGATTATTTGTGCACGAAATCCAAGTAATCTACAGTAGTTAACTATGTCATCATAATCTACTTGTCAAACTTATACACAGAATGTTTGTTTGTATACAAAATTACGTAACTAATATATTGTTTGTATACCAAGTAAAGTAGCTGAACTTTTGTATACAGAATGAAGTTATTGAGCTTTTGTTGACAAAGTGAAGAAAGTAACTATGAAGAACAGAATAGCCAACTACATTGTCATTATGTAAGATGATTTAGTATGCAGTACACAACGCCGGTCTGCTCAAAACCTTGGCAATAAAAGAATCCAGTAGCCTGAATGTTGAATGATGCCTTGAAAGACACATATTTATATATAATTACAGAAACAATTAGAATATAGCTTTAGAAATCTGTGAAAGCATGCAACTTTTTCTCTTTTCTTTTACTCTGACTTTCATACTCTTGCCAAAATGTTTGCATAAATACTAAAATAAACTGCTATTAGACCATGTAAAAGTAATAATTGAAGACGCTTTTAATAACAGGTTTTGATTTCTATTACGGTACAATGCTGATATATGTAGGTTTATTATTGATTCAGTAACTGGGATGATTCTGTAATGTTCAGCATTATGTGTTGGTTACATGGACATAAAGTACCGTTTTCTGTTGAAACAATGCCTTGTACATTTCTGTATTTTCAAAGTGATTAATAGGTTGGCTTTATTTAACGAAACAGTTGACATGACTGATGATAAAACATTGAGGCTGTTGCCAATAAGAAACATTGTTTCAAACCAGAAATCAGAAATGGGCTTCATACAAGACCTTTCTCATCATGATTGTAAAGTCACTGTAGGCTGGGTCCGCAGTACAAGGTTCGGTTAACATAGAAGATTTGGTCCAGTTACAGTGACCGACTAGTCTAAACCAGTTAACTTGGTCCAGTTACAGTGACCGACTAGTCTAAACCACAGTTAACTTGGTCCAGTTACAGTGACCTACTAGTCTAAACCACAGTTAACTTGGTCCAGTTACAGTGACTGACAAGTCTAAACCACAGTTAACTTGGTCCAGTTACAGTGACTGACTAGTCTAAACCACAGTTACCTTGGTCCAGTTACAGTAACCGACTAGTCTGAAACAGTGTAAACTTGGTTAAGTTGCAGTGACCGACTAGCCTGAACCAGTGAAAACTTGGTTCAGTTACAGTGACTGACAAGTCTAAACCACAGTTAACTTGGTCCAGTTACAGTGACCAACTAGTCTGAACCAGTGTAAACTTGGTTCAGTTGCAGTGACCGACTAGTCTGAACCAGTGTAAACTTGGTTCAGTTACAGTGACCGACTAGTCTGAACCAGTGTGAACTTGGTTGAGTTACAGTGACCGACTAGTCTGAACCAGTGTAAACTTGGTTCAGTTACAGTGACCGACTAGTCTGAACCAGTGTGAACTTGGTTGAGTTACAGTGACCGACTAGTCTGAACCAGTGTAAACTTGGTTCAGTTACAGTGACCGACTAGTCTAAACCACAGTTAACTTGGTCCAGTTACAGTAACCGACTAGTCTAAACCAGTTAACTTGGTCCAGTTTCAGTGACCGACTAGTCTTAACCGGTTAACTTGGTCCAGTTACAGTGACCGACTAGTCTAAAACAACAGTTAACTTGGTCCAGTTTCAGTGACTGACTAGTCTTAAACCACAGTAACTTGGTCCAGTTACAGTGACCGACTAGTCTGAACCACAGTTAACTTGGTCCAGTTACAGTGACCGACTAGTCTAAACCACAGTAACTTGGTCCAGTTACAGTGACCGACTAGTCTAAACAACTGTAATCTTGGTCCAGTTACAGTGACCGACTAGTCTAAACCACTGTACTCTTGGTCCAGTTACAGTGACCGACTAGTCTAAACCACAGTCACTTGGTCCAGTTACAGTGACTGACTAGTCTAAACCACAGTTAACTAGGTTCAGTTTATAAAAGTCTTGAACCAGTGTAGGTATGTCCCAGCGTACACTGACTGATTGGTGTAGTAAGGTACAGTAGCTATTGTAAGAGTAGGAATGATGAAAGTGCTTGTGACAAGTATTGAGTGGTTACGAAGGCTGTGGTTAATATTGATCATGTAATGTATATTTTATCCCACCAGGGGCCTGTACACAGGTATGTTATGGGTGTGTTTTGAGCGAGAGCGAGACATGATTGTGATATACTTCATGCATATGAATTTTCTTTTTTTAACACAAATCAAACTGGCCCACTTCGTATGGAAAACAAAGCAATTTCCTAACGTAGGAGAACAGAAAGCAACACAGAGCAATTTAGTTTTAATCATGTGAGGAACATTACACATCATTATGTTGATCACATATTCCTTTTATGACTTCCTCATCAGTACCTTTTAGTTTATACATGAATAATAGTGAACAGACAATTAAAATTTTCATGAAATGGATGATAACTATTCCTAGTTTTGTTGTTGTTGTTTTTTATGGGAAAAAAATACAGTTTTGATACTGGGGTATCGGTATATCACAATCTCATTGGATTGTCTTCATGTGGACACTTCCGTTTCAGTGGAATTTAGAATCTAGGTGATTTGGACACTGGATTTGTGTACAGCGGAACCTCTGATCTGAAATTAGGTTTCTGTCTTTCGGGGTAATCGTTTAAACTTGGCCTATGATCGGGTGATTCATTAAGGTCTGTAAGTTTAGTAATGGGCCAGTTTGGAACCGTGCCATTTTAAAAATTATTGTATGTTGATAACAGCTGATAATATTTCTATCATAATTTATGAAATTTCGTACCCTATTAATTGTCGCCACTTAATATATATTCCATTTCGACGATATTTGTTTTCATTAATTATGATTAAAGCTTCGGAGACACATTTGCTGTAACGACTTTCAACGCCAAAACAAACTTCTGATAAGTACATATACACACCTATCGCACAACGATTCAGTCAAAATCGACTAAAAAATAAGATGGCACAAATGTCCAAAGTTAAAGAGAAAGTGCCCTAGCAATAAAAGATCGAGTTGAACATTTCGTCGCCAAATAATTTTAGTGTACAAGTTTACTGGTTTGTCGCAAATCTGAGACATGAGGGAAGTTGGTAAACCGTTCCAGGAGTAGATGTCCGCTTGTAACATTGCAACGTCGGTACATGCGTGTATGTCTGTTCCATCTCCGAAACTGGTTTTGTTTCAGGTCAAGGCGTTGTTACACAAGACCCGACTTATTCAGTGGTGACGTCAATGCTGCATGCTCCAAACTGCTGCATCCCACTACGTCAATAAACAGATTGAGGAGGTCTATATTGAGGGAGGGAGTACAGACAGAAACAGCTGCAGGCGGTATTGAACGACAGGAGTATTGAGGAATGAGGATGGGTTACACTTGCGATATAATAAAAAATATACAACATCAATAACAGTCCCAACAGCCTATCATGTCATCAATAACAGTCCCAACATGTCAAACAGCCCATCATGTCATCATTAACAGTCCCAACATGTCAAACAGCCCATCATGTCATCAATAACAGTCCCATCATGTCATCAATAACAGTCCCATCATGTCATCATTAACAGTCCCAACATGTCAAACAGCCCATTATGTCATCAATAACAGTCCCAACATGTCAAACAGCCCATCATGTCATCAATAACAGTCCCAACATGTCAAACAGCCCATCATGTCATCAATAACAGTCCCAACATGTCAAACAGCCCATCATGTCATCAATAACAGTCCCAACATGTCAAACAGCCCATCATGTCATCAATAACAGTCCCAACATGTCAAACAGCCCATCATGTCATCAATAACAGTCCCAACATGTCAAACAGCCCATCATGTCATCAATAACAGTCCCAACATGTCAAACAGCCCATCATGTCATCAATAACAGTCCCAACATGTCAAACAGCCCATCATGTCATCAATAACAGTCCCAACATGTCAAACAGCCCATCATGTCATCAATAACAGTCCCAACATGTCAAACAGCCCATCATGTCATCAATAACAGTCCCAACATGTCAAACAGCCCATCATGTCATCAATAACAGTCCCAACATGTCAAACAGCCCATCATGTCATCAATAACAGTCCCAACATGTCAAACAGCCCATCATGTCATCAATAACAGTCCCAACATGTCAAACAGC